AATATTTTTTTATTTTAATAAACTAAATAATAAAAATTTAAAATCGAATAAAATCTGTAATATTTGGATTTTTTGAATAAAATTTTAAATTTGTCGATAAATTATAGTAGATAATAAATTGCACCACTTTAATTTGAATTATCTCAAATAGGGGGGCCTGGAGGCAGGGTAGGCGACAGGAAAAACTAACTTTTTTTCGCAAACTTCAATTTAAATTCTGTTTGCGCCGAACTTGTTTATTTAATGTCAATATAAACTATTATAAATTTGGTGTGGGTCCCATGTCTAATAACTGAGATATTGGTATACTTAAAATCCACCAGCCGCCACTGGATCATGGTGAATTATTGTGTTTTTAATTGTTAATAAAATTCAAGAACTAATTCGTTACATTTTTATGTTTTACCAAAGGTTTCAATACGGTACGTATATTTGTTTATGCAGAATTAATTAATAATAACTTTACTTAATATAATTTATATTTAAGTTTAAACATTTTTAAGAAATCCAAGAAAAAATAATTGTTTTACAAACATAACCTTAAAATAGAACATTTTTATATTTAAGTCCTGTATAATATTATATATAAAGCATAATATAATACCTGTTCTTGGTATTTTACTGTTTACAATTTTTACGTAAATTATTACTAAATTGTGTATTTATTGTATTTAATCAATATAATTTATATTTTGTAAATATTATTTACTGAGACTGAATACAATTTATTTCTTTATTCGAATTTTCATTGTTCATTGGGAAACTCAACCCAGGATTTCCTTTGAAAAACACCCAACAACACAACAAATCGTGCAACGCTTTTTTTCCCCGATATTTTTAACATTTTTCGGCTTTATTCTCAAAAACACTATTTTGTTACATACGCGTTTGACAGCTGCATATTGAAAGCCGAATTCTGGTTACGATGATAACTTTTCTAGACACTCATTTACTCGCTCGCTCGTGCCTAATTTCCATATTCGTTGTAAAAATTTCGGCTGCTCCATTCCAAAACACAGTATGTGTAAAAATCAAAATTGTGAGAAAAACGTGTTTTAGTTTTTTGATTTGGCCTCTGTAGGGTATTTAACGAATTATATTTTTTGTAATAAAAATGTTTTGATATTAAAATTTGTTCCTTTGCAATGCATTGTATATTAGCCAATAGATAAAGCATTAAAAAATTATTTTATCTAAAAAGTTTTAAATATTTTAAAAAGGTATCTAAAATTAGGCGACTTTCCTCTAGTAGTTCCGATCCCGATCCCGAAAAAGCTTATAAATAACCCACACAAAATTAAAAAAAAAACCAAAGACGGTTTGACGTGAATGATTAAGTTATTTACCAAAAACTCAGTTCGTTAACCATTTCAGTATACTAGGTATAGGGCCGGTTTTTCAATGGATGGTTAAGTTTATCTTAAGGTTAACTTTCTTAGATACTATTGTGTTAACAATAGTATCTAAGGAAATTATCCGTAAGATAAACTTAACCAACGATTGAAAAACCGGCCCATAGTAATTTTAATATAGGTATAAAGATTAAGGTTGCAACATAAGCTTCCATGTTGATAAATGGATTTTTAAAGCCATGGCTTTAAAAATCCATTTATCAACATGGAAGCTTATGTTGCATAGAAGCAAAAAAAGTCGGTTTTGATGTTTGTAATGTACATCCATTTAGCGATTATTCATTAATTTTTTTTTTTTAACTGACTAAAAATAGCTGTTGAGAATCGCACCGGTGTTTCTTTCTCTCGTCGCACTACGTCACGAAAATGCCACTCCACAAGTGTGAATAGAAAAATAAACTCTTCGTGTATAATCTGGACACACTGTGACCCTGTTATTTCTAGAGAACTACCTATAATAAATAAATGTCGTTTAAATTAAGAATGGTTCCAATTACTGAAGAATAAAAGATGTGTGCTATGACGAATCCTGTTTCTTATAAAAAGAACATTCAAAGTGACAGAAACAATTTTCCAGTTGAGAGATTGTTCTGGTCCCCGAGGGAAAATTACAATATTTACGATGTCATTTGTATCGGCTGCAAACGCTTTGTCCCTGGTTAAATACGACTCGTTGCCCTCGTCATTGCCCCTCAATCCTTTAAACCAATGCATCTATAATACAGTATGTATGTATATCGGAGATCAATTAGGGCACATTGAATTGACAAGTTAAAGACGGATAATAATATTCCACTGGTATATTATACATTAACTGAGTCCCCTGGTTTTATGAACCCGACAATTTCAAGTAATATTGCGTTAAATCGAGTGGAATCGCCAATTTTTTCTGAAAGGATTATTTTTGGTAAATGTACAAAAAATTAACAAAAAGTACCAAATACTTAGGTATAATTGACGTTTAAGTAGTTAAAATATAACCAGAGTACCTACTTGATTACAAAAATATTCTTTCATAAGTACTGTATCTTTTTTAAAATTATAAAACCCTTAAAATGGCAACAACTTTTTTGCTTATATTATTTATTATTAATCCAAAGGGCGACCACAAGAAAGTTGATACTAAAGAAAAAATTGAACCTACACCTCGCCAAAGTTTTTTGTTTTGAATGCGTTCCACCAACTTCAAATACCGACAGACAGCTGTTTCGACCTTTATTGGGTCTCATCAGTGTCGGGCAACTTGGTGTGATGAGACCCAATAAAGGTCGAAACAGCTGTCTGTCGGTATTTGAAGTTGGTGGAACGCATTCAAAACAAAAAACTTTGGCGAGGTGTAGGTTCAATTTTTTCTTATGAATATTACCAGGGATGGGTCAAGAAAGTTTCTTAAAGAAACTAAGAAAATTGAATGTTTACCTTAAAGTTGATACTGTTTCCGAATCTTTTAAGCGATAATCGACATTTATTTTCCAACATTTAAGATATCTTTAAAAAAATTTATAAATACTTGGTTTAATGAATTTTTTTCATAAATTTGTATAACGTGATCTAATATTATTAAGTGGATTATTTTCCAGTACATACAATAAACACACAAATACATTGCATATCCTGACGTTTTGAAATTTTTATATTTTCTCATTTAATTTTAATTCCGATAATATAATTTATAACTTTATTAAAAAGGATAATGAAACTTAAAAAAGTTTTTCTTAATCGTCAATTATAGTATATTATGTATTAAGTTTGATAAATGCCAGTGCAGAGCAAGTGCTTAAATTAATGAGTGTCTAGAAAAGTTTATAAACGAGTTGCATACTATACTTTTTCTACGACAAATACTTATTATTATCATTCACTCAACGTTATTATCTTAAAATGATTTGAATTAAATATTTGTATAGAGCGCCATCTATAAAACAATAGGGTAATCTGTGTTGCCGTCAAATGTCAAATTTTTATGTGTTATAAACACAGATTAGAAAGGTTATAAATCGAAATGTATTCCTTGAAAATGGATTAACAACAGTTTTTCAAAGTAAAACTAGAAGAACATGTTTTATGAGCCCGAATTTAAGTTATACCTAGTTTACTGGCGGCGAAATTAAAAGGACAGTACAATGTTCATACAAACTAATCAAATATTGGCGTTGAGAAACTATTTAATACTTATATTTTTTTGTATTAATGCGAGCGAAATACAGTGCTGCGAAAAAGACGGCCAAATGAAACGATACATAAAAAGAAAAGAGACGAGACAAAGCCACGTGGCGGCGACAAGGCGACAAGTAAATTCCACTGTATACACCGTTGCCAAAATGTGCTCTGTTTAATTAATATTCTCATAGCCATTGTTCGTTATGCTTAAGTAATTGGTAAGAAAGCGAGGATTTAGATACTTTTTTTACAACACAACAACAAAATGTATTTTGTCCCAACAAATTTTCAATAGCAAAGGTAAAATATCAAAAATTATTTTAATTTTAAATTTTAAAAATTTTATTTACGAGGATTAAAACGCCCTGTTAATTAATTTAATATTTTAAAGAAAACCTAGTATCCAAGTTAATTAATTATATGTAGAACTCTAGGCCACTATTTTTTTCTTTTCACAAATGATTCCTTAGATTTTGTTTACCTACTTATATATTTTAAATTTTATTTCCAAAATTTTCAGTAACTATGAAAAAAATGCTGAATTTAATGAGTTTTAAAATAGAATAGTTGCAAAAATGGCGAATGCGCCGGGATTAAAAAACAGAGTACCACCACCAGTCCACGTGATAACAAAATAATTCTGTCGATAGGTAATTATAATTTGTAATCAAAATTAAACAAAATTAAATATCGTATTACCCATTAAGGTGTATTTAATAATAATACAATGTATTATATTATTGAAAACAGTTTTTAAAATGTACCTACATTATTTTTAAATTTATTTTTTAAATTTGACTTTCTCAACAAAAATGGTAAAAACTAGATAAGTCGATTTTTTATAAAATGAGATGAGCCAACTGCTCTACTTAATTGAATTAGTCAAAAATGACTCACAGTCAATTTCTATCTAAAATTGTCCGATAAATCGGAAAATACGGTTATAAAAGTAAAGCAGTTTTTAAGATATGTTCAATATCATATTATATGGAAAATTGACTATATCTCTAAAAAAATTATCTAGAGAGCTATAACTTTTGTTGAAATATTCGGATTCAGCGGTCAATATTTCGTAGGAATTGACTGCTAAATGTCCGGGATACAAATTGCTGTTGACTAAAATTATTAGTGGCAGCTTTTTCACTATGACAATTAGTAGTTTTTGGCTAATTCATTTTAATAGAGTGGGCAACTAAAATTGGTATCTAAGACATTATGTAGTCAATAGCTAAAGGGCTAAACAAATTGTTGTCATAAATTAGGTTCACTTAACTCCAATTAATTGTTTTTTTAAACTCCATATAATTTGTTACAGGTCTATGTCTATTTTATAAAGATTTTTGATGTGCAAAATCAAAATTACTTTGGATTTGCTATCACATCAGGTTTTCGAGAAACTAACCCAAAAGTAAGAAGTTGTTTTCAATATTGAGATTATATTACACCACAAGATATACCTTCTTCGCAAAACTCTTTTCTCTAAAATACATTTTACTTTTTCAATGTATCTACAAAACGCGTTTTTTCTATTTTTGGATTAGGATTGAAACCTGACGTGTTGAAGCAACTCAAGGTTAAATTCGAATTCAGTGCATCATGAACCTTACGTATGGGTCTAAATTTAATAAAAGAATATTGTTTACATTTTGTAGACGTAATAATAATAATTATATATTATTGCTCCCTAATTTTGAAATGACAGTCCACAGGATGTGTAGTCGTCATGGCAATACTTGATTCAAAATCCATATCATCAATGGATTTATACTTGGTGGTTATATGGAAGTGTCTAACAATATTAGCTATGGTTGTTTTCATATTCATCATGGCGTACTTCCATCCTAAAATGTAAATAATATTTTAAAAAATTTTAATTGTTACCTAATTTAGAAGCTTACCTATGCAATTTCTTGGTCCTCCGGAAAATGGGAGAAAAGCGTACTGTGGTCTTTTAGCAACCTCCTCGGGCGAAAATCTCTCGGGATCATATTTTTTTGGGTTTGGGTACCATTTTTCACTTCTATGCGTTCCAAAAAGAAAACACACTATATCTGTACCGGCAGGGATGACTTTTGTACCTAAAACTTTTACACATCAAAAAAGTATAAGCGATAAATTTTATGCATGTCCTTGCCTAAATGTATATCAGCTACAGATCTTCTGCCGGTATAAGGTATCACAGGAAGTAATCTAAGAGATTCGTTTATGGCCATTTCTGTGTATTTCAATGAAGGTAAAATGTTGTGTTCGATCTCCTTGTCTTTACCAACTATATTTATTACTTCTTCATAAACTTTTTTCTTAAAAAATAGGTTAGGTTTATGTATGGGTAATTCTCAAATAGTTTTAATATTCCATCTAACAAATTTTGGATAAATCAAGTCATACAGATATTTAAAATATAATAAAATATAATTAAGAATAAGTTGAACCAGTTACTCACAAGAAAACGATACACTGTTAAAAATAATGGTAAATTTACTAAATGTTTTCTAATAAAAAGTATAGTAAAATTACAAACCTTAGTTTCGAAAAGTAGCCATAATAGTAATAGTGATACAAGATATTTACATAAGGTAATAGTATTTTTAGTATTTTTGTGATAAATTTACAAGGTCAACTTACTACTTACACAATTAAACAAATAATAGAAACACGTTGGGGAATATTTCTAATATTTGTTTAACATATCATCAAAGTTGTCTTTTTATAAATTTTAGCTGGTATTTCGAAAAGTTGCAGAGTAGTAGTATATTAATATAGTATATTAGCGTTACTATTTTATAGATAAAAAGTACTACAAACGACATTGCAAAAACGCTTTAAAAAACGCTTTAAAAAACTCTCCCAGAGACCAATATATTAAAAGTATTTGAAATGACATTTGCTGGTTAAGCACTTTTTTTGGAAAATCATAGTATTTCATGCTAGTAGTAAATTTAGGTTGTTTGGAAACCCCGTCATTTTTTTCCTGTTCTTCCAGGTAATTTTTAAAGCAATGCTTCCTAACGCAGGCTTTGAGGTTTAGCATAGAAAATAGGTTTTAAACGGTTTTAACAAACAGTGCATTTTCAACTCGCCATCTATAGTACGTAGTACGTAGTAGTACAAATTACAGTTACCTATAGGAACGACAAACTTGCACAGTACTCTTTTAAAATGAATTAGTCAAAAATAACTAATTATAAGTCATATTCGACTAATTGTCATAGCGAAAAAGCAGTCACTAATAATTAGTCAAATTTTACTGAATGAAATAGTCAAATTAGTAGATTTAAATTTTAAAAGAGTTTTGACCCAGCCGGGGATTGAACTCAGGACTGTTGTCAAGCTTGTCAAGCTGTTGTCATAACCCATTCGGCCATCAGCCGCTCTTATAAAAATCAATTTTATTTGTCAATAAATATTGTTCATAATATTTTAAAGTTGAATATATTATTTGTGTTGCTGTTTTGAGCTAAACTTTTTGCATCTTTATTTGTGTTAATGGGTCATTTAACCATGTAGCTTAGGTATATGCATTTAATTCAAATAATACTTTGTTGTTGGCCATAAACGAGTAAAAAAATTAGTTACTTTTAACTCCCAGAAATAAACTGCTCGTCATAAAAATCGACGCACCTAGTTTTTTGGAAAATATTTGAAAGCTCGTTATTGGAAAATTACTTAACGGCCATTCCAAGCCCATGGACAGGACACATCAGAAACATGTCTAAATATATTCTTGTTACTTCCAAATTTGGCTAATACTTCTCATAAATACTCGTAGAAAAAATAAGTAAACTTAAGGAAGTAATAAGAATATATTTAGACATGTTTTTGATGTGTCCTGTCCATGGGCTTGGAATGGCCGTTAATCGATTTTGAAAATCTTTGGAAATTCTGAATAGCTGATTCTTTGACTCTTATGTCTAAATTTGAGAATATGATATTTTGCACACATACTACAGGGTGTTAAACGAAGAGATGTATTTTTTCCGAAATTTCAAGTTATTCCCATTCATGAGGCAGTTGAGTTTGACAGTCGTAATACCCCTCCCTAATATTAGTCAAACTTTAACTATTTACGTAGTAAAAAATAACTATTTAAAACTGAAAACGACTATTTTATTAGTAAAAAATGCTGGTAGGTACTAATTCAAATAGAATTTTGACTATTTCATTTTTAGAGAGTAGGATAAATTTAACATAACAAAAATGGCACATTGAACATAATATTAAATAAACGGTTTTTTGTTAATTTTAAAGTTATTAAAATTCAAAAAATTTACAGAATTTGTAAAATTTAAAAAAATGTGAGATTTTTAATTTTTTTTGAAATTTTTTGTTTCAATTTTCAAAATTTTGGTAATTTTAAAAAATTAATTTTTTTTCAAAATTTAATATAGGTAGGTATTTTTAAATTTTCAAAATTTTATTTTATCACATTTTTAAAATTTCTGAATTTTCAAAACTCCAAAATTTTCCAAATTTCTACGATTTTTTAGCATAAGGAATTTCTATGTTTTCTTTCTTACCTGTATGTCCGGATGCATTCCCAATAAAACACATGTAAATGCCATGGAATAAGCTGTTGTATCTGTAGCCTAAATATATTTTATTTTGATTATTTTTTCTTTTATATAATTAATTTATACTTACAGCACCTGCAAGTAAAACTAATTCTTTTCGAATGTACTCATCAGTAGTGTCTTTATCAGAAAGCAACAATTGCAGCAACTGACCTCTTCTTAGTTCTTTTGTTTCAACATGAGAAAAATCTAAAACATTTTTTTTTAATTTTAACCAAATAACAAGTTATTTATTTACAATTTTCATTTAATTCTAGTCTTTTATTCGTGAGGATCTAAAAAAATTCCAAAATGTATCAGTTTGACTAAAAATACAAATATTTTTTACTTTTTGAATAAAGTCAAAGGCTTGTGCCATTATTTTATTAAGATATCTTCCATCTCCTGTGAAATTATAACAAAAATCGTTCATTTTTATTAGGTTTCCTATTCTACGTGCCATTGTTTTTTCTCCACTAAAATAAAAAATAAACTTGTAATATTATATTATAGTACAAATCTAATAATTTTCTGGACATCCTAATTACCAAAACTTATTAAAGACAAACTTTATTTAAAAAGTTACTTAATAATAAAACTTACTTTGTTATCATATCAACAAATTCACTTTCCTTTTCGTCCAAAAAGTTAAAATTAATATTCAAAAAGTTTTCTAAAATAATAAATCACAATAAAAAACCAGCAATTTACATTTAATAATATTACCAGTAAAATTATCCAAGGTAAATTTCTGAAATAAATAAACAAGATCTTCGTTGTTCTTTTTTAATTTTTCTATTAAGTTGGGACCCATTGTGTTAAATGATTCAACGGAAGAGTCGAGTACTTTTTGGTTAAACCCTTTAGATACAAGTTTTCGATTTTTTTTCCATTTGGAAACTAAAATTATTAGATTAGATTAGATTTTATTGCACAATCCTTTTTCCTACCTGATTCTATAAGTAACGTTTGTTTAAAGGTTGTGTTCAAAACTTTGTAAAAACTTCCTTTTTCCAAACAATCAGGATGGTTCAGGATAATTTTCAACTCCTCCGGGCAAGAAGTGCAGTAAGTTTCGTTTGGCATATATATAACACAAGGGTTTCCAACTGTTTCACTAATAAATTCAGATACTTTAACTATATCTAAAATAAAAAATCTAAATTAAAGATATTTTTAGGGTTTACTTACGTACTGTAATTGAATTTATAAAAAAGGAGACCATTTCCAATTATTGGTAAAACGGGTTTTGGTGTTGGCAGGCTGTAAAAGTCTTTGTACTTATTTTTATGATTTTTTTCTTTTATCCATGAATAAGTTGAAATCGCTATTAAAAGTAGAGATACTAATATTGCTGCAATTTCAATCATATCAAAAAACTTGCACTACACAGAACCGATTGTGTTAAACGACTATTTAGTATTTAAAAAATGTACATATACCTAATTGTAAATTAACAATCATCATTTTTTATACATTAATAAGCAATTCCAAATGTAGGTACTTTCTAAGGTGACGTTTTTACATTTAAATACAACCAACAAGTTTATATAAGGGGACTAATTTCAAACCCAGGAAACTTCAGTTAATTAAAAAATATTAGAATTTTTAAGTACTCACTTAGAAAAAAGATTTATTTAGTAATATGGGCAATAATATTATTTATGATGTTTTACTCAATCATTTTAATTCGACTCATATTTTATATAACTTGACACCATTTTTTCACAAGAGCCTTGGCCAACTGTGGTACGGTTAGAGATACAGCCTGTCAAGCATATCCCAGGCGTGCTCTATCGGATTAAGATCCGGACTCATTGCAGGCCACTGCATCACCTAGATCTCTTGCTCCCGAAGAAAGTTCCTTGTAAGATTTGCTGTATGTATTCTACAATAACTACCGTAAATACGGGTGACTTTGCACCCCGCGGGTGACTTTAACCCATTTATGAAAAATCTTTTCGCGCTCGATAAAATTAACATTTATAATTTGTTGGCCTAAACCTGTCAATTGAGCGATTCTATTGAGTTTATATTACAGGAAAATCAGTGTTTTAAAGAAAGAAATGGGATTTATTACACTTTAAAATTGTATATATCGTATCAGTGCAAAACTCTTAGAAATACACGCGTTACAATTTCTATATTATGCGCAATCCATTGGAATGATGATCCTTGGTTAACTACAGTTCGATTTTTTATTTTTTTTTATTGGTAATCCCTTGCAATAGATATATGTCGCTGCTAAAACGTGTCTAATAAAAATAAAATATAATATTACATTCATTTTATACTGAAAAAACACTGCGAGACAAAGTAACCCGCAACCAGGGGGTAACTTTGCACACCCAGTTTTTAATGTTTATTTTTGAAACTCAGCCCTATGTAATATTATAACACAGTTATTATGAAAGAGCAACTCAAGACTCAAATTTTGGTATACAAAATTTAATGTTTATGATTGTTAAAACCACAAAAATTTTAAGCTGAAGTTTGAAGTTTGAAAGTGAGCCAAAGCCACCCGTGTTTACGGTATTGATTTAGCAATGAATTTTTCTCTTCTTATTGTTTAGAAATGTCGAACGAATTTTTTTGAGAAATGTATAAACCCGACTTTTTAGGTATTCAAAAAAAAATCAGGAGTCTACATGGTTAGGACTGTCACGAAATGGACCATCCTTACAGTTAGTTACACGATAAAGTCACTTGGTTTTTTTAAAGTTAATATTGACTGCTTGGAAAATCGCACCCTGTATTAACATTTTTCTGAATTAGATAAAAATAAAATAAATCTGATAAAGATCCCATTATTTTGTAAAAGCATCAGCGTCGGCTGTCCCCGTTCCACGACAATCATAGTATCCAGGTCCCAGTTGGCAAGGGGTGATCTGAATCCGTCGTTCGCTAATCAAGTTGACATAGCAAGTAGCAGCAAGGTATACAGTGTTCGTTGACCGTCGAGGCAGGGACCGTCGAAGCGAAACAATTGAGTCTGAAAAGAAATTTCCTTTTTCAATTTTAATCTGCCGGCTCCGTCAGTCAATCTCTTACACTTATTTTCCTCGGTGGCGCAGAGATTTGATTTCATTTTACTTCGTCTCCACGTTCCCGCTCTACTTTCCATTCCTTTCCTCTTGTGTTTGCCTTTTCGTTGTTTCTTTAAATGAACCGGGGGAATATCTGCCCGCTATTGAGTTTCCTTACATTTCTGCTCACAACAATCCACTTATAATGTCATTTTTCTTCTTTCTCGGCAATGCAAGTTTTTTACTTCTTTTTGATATTCTTAAAAAACAATATCTACAAATTTACTTAAAAAAATAAAATAAAGTTTTATTTTAATCATAATTTTACACAATAAAATTCTGCTCCTTACAGATAAACGCAGAATGAATAAAAGATTTCAAAAATTAATGATCTAAAAATATTTGTTTCCATACTCACGTAGAATTAAGAGATTACCTATCTCTAGGTAAAAGGCATAAGGGAATGAGTCATAAAAAATCAATTTTTTAGTAGAGACTTAAACATGTTCGCATTAATTCAGGAAATATATTTATGGTTAGCGAGTATACCCTTTTGCTAGCATACGACATGTGCTTGCATAAGGGTATACCCGCTAACCATAAATGTATTTCCTAAATTAATGCCAACACGATTAAGGCACTGATAAGAAATTGATCGAAACAACAAAAAAAGTAAGCTATTGTTACCCTGGTTAAATAATGAAAATATGTTTTTACTGTATGGTCCATTCAATGAATACATTTTGAGAAATCCAGGAAAACCCATAACAATATTAGATATAGCCAAACTAACTGCTAAAACCTTATCTCCAAAGTTTTACACCGATATAAATATTAGGCATATGCACTGTTCAAAATTTCATGACCATTTTAACACCAAAATATCACCATAAATGTGGTTCGTTGGTCCAGTGTAAATTCAAATACTAAAATGGTGTAAATTTAACTTTCACACAGTATTAAAATAAATTTTACCTGGTGTAAATTGAACTCCTTTTCAGTGAACAGGAAGTTTCTTGACGCATTACTAGTATATTACCAGTGGTATTATTTCAGAATATTGAACCTTCAACTCGCTAGAGATAAAGTTTTAAGTGCGCTCCACAACTTAAAATACTTCAAGAATATATTGACAGCTTTTTCCACCTATTAGAATTAATTAGTATCGAACAACTTGTAGTGTCACACCAAAGCAAAGGACTACCTGAGCTTATATACTCTTCTGTAAGTCAACAGAGGCGAGATTTAAGAACATCACGTGATCTGTGGATCACGTGATGTTCTTAAATCTCGCCTTTGCCGCGATCGGTACACACTATGCAAACAGGAATGCACGGCAAATTGTTTTAATCGTTTTAACAGAGTGCTTTAGGTTGAAGTAACTCTTATTTTACAAACAACATATTTAGTAAACTGAACCATACAGAGGGTTGGTTTCACTTAAGTTTTCTGGGTTAATTTAACCAATTAAAAAATAAACAACTATCTGGTTTAGTATCGTCAAACTAATCTTTGTTTATATTTATATATATACCTTCCCACAGTTGTTTTAAATAAATACTTATGGGTCAACTAAATTAATATAGTTAAATGAACTATTCCTTTTTTTAGTGTAGGTGCACTTCTCAAATATTTTTAGATAAACACCGTTTTGATGTTTGCTGTATATAACATTTTCAACCATAATTCATGGTGTTTATATTAACACCACTTGGTGTTGGATTTTGACACCATTTTAAGATTACTCTTTACACCACAGATATTTTAAACAGTGTGGTACAAATCGTCCAAATCCTCAAATCGATGCAGGACAAGCTCCTCATAGCTCGGTTACTATAGATGTTAGTTCAACATCACTGCAGTTCGATTTGTCATCAAACATATTTGATATCAGTCAACCTACTTATTAGGTACGTTTGCAACGACAAACATCCAAACTATAATCAAGGCTCTTCACTTTCGAAATCCAGCGCAAGAACACAAAAAGAGCTAATCATAGTGATTCCTCACCATGTTGCACGGAATCAGAACCAGAGTCAATAAATTTGTTTTTTTGACACGGTCTGGGTACCAGACCGTGTCAAAAAAATAAATTTATTGACTGCTTATCCAAATCCAATGTTGATATAGATTCTGATTTCGATTACTTAAATCAGCTTTTGGGTAGGTATTTAGTATTAGCAGATTGACTTTATGGAAGCTATTTTTACATTTCTAGATGACGAAGAGATTCTCTGTGACTTTCCAACAAAGAAAACCGTTTATGTGGGTTAAGTGAATGGGGTAGCCGAATACGGTGAATTTGTTGTTAAATTCTTAAATCGCTTCCACTTTCCTCCTGTTAGAGACGTCTCCAATGTTTGCAGAAGTGACATAGTATCAAAGTTACCCAAACCCATTTATGTTCCAGGGTGCTTGCGTTTGGCTAGTTTTAGTATAGTAAGTAAACAATTTGTTGAAAACAAATAAGGTGGCTTTACATCAACCTACCTAGTCAATTTTAATTGTATGCATATATCGATGGTTATTTGACAAAACCTCGTAAGCGACAAAATTTAAATTTTACAGGAGAGATTTTTTTGTGTGGGAGCTTTATTTTTAAAGTTATTTATCTGAAAACTGGTGAGGCATTATTTTATTAATGTAGAATTTAAATATTTAAGTAAGATCGAATACATTCTAAAATTTTCATTAAATTTTGTGGCATACGATATTTTATAAGAACATCTTTAGAAAAATGTAAAATTAGTCTTGTCAATTAAGTTACATTTACGTTACTTTGTGGGATATAGATTTGATGATTACTTTTGTCAAAACATCGTTAGCGACATTTAATTTTTACTTTTATTATTAAATTAAAAAAAAATACAAAAAAATTAATTTATAAAATATCAAATGAAAAAAACGAACGATTTTTATTCACAAACCAGTATCTAACCCATGGAGCCTACACAAGGTGCCCGAACTTAATAGTGAAAATTGACAAAACCAGCCCTCTAAGTTGAACAAATTAAGTTTATTTTTTTCACCACCAGCGGCGCTGATTGTCGATGCTAGCGTTTCGGTGCAAATTAAACAATTGTTTCAGAATAAACGGAACACCAGCGCCCTCTTATCTTAGGAAGATTCTTGTTTACATGATGTTCGGACTCCTTGTGTAGGCTCCATGATCTAACCCATGGTTCCATGATCTAACCCATGGTTCCATGATCTAACCGTTATAAATTTGAGACAAACTATTTGACTTTGAGCAAAACCGTCTGAACCTGCCCCCATCTACCCTACCCCAAAAAATTGTTGGTCACCCTAGAGCAAACAGAAAATTTAATTTTGCAGGCCTGCCCCCCATCTGGAAAACTTTATATGGACACCCATGCTTGTAGCAGGTATTTTTTTTTGGCTTTTGAACATAAAATCTTTAATTGTCGATTATTGGTCGACCAGAGCGAGGTGCATTTGACAAATTTTTAGAACAAAAACGAGAAAATCATTATTTATGATACGGCACCATCACCATAGACTTCATTATTTTTAGTTTTATAGATTCTGTATCTTTTCACCAAATTAAAAAAGTGTTAAATTTTGTACTTACTTTTGCTCTTTTATTTAACATATTTTAAGGGTAGCTATATTAATAAAGAAATATATCCAGTTAAACTGGACCAGTTTTAAATATTTCCATTTCAACTAAAAACCAAATAAAGGAGTTTATTTTACACCATATTAAACAGTCGATAAAGCGTCCCACATTGTACTTACATGACAGATTACCAACGTAATCCTTAATGAAAATAACTGTAGTTTTTCAATCACACATTTTTTATTTACATCTGTTACATAAGATAATTGTAATAAAACATACTGGCGATACAAATCCTATTAGCAAACAAACCTAAGGGGGAGGGAGCCAGTATTTGTGTTTAGGAACACGGTATTATAAGCTTAAAACGATGCCGTGATGCAATGGGGTAACGTTAAAATGTATTTATAATCCATTTGCCTTATGAACAAACTTCATGTTTAATAATGTACTAAACTGTGATTTGTAACGTTGTGTGGGGGAAGTTGGTGTAAAAGTGCGCGCTTTTAAAATCCACCTATTTGAGGCTTTAAAAAGTGAGATTTGTTTTAAAATATCATGGGAGTTATAATATATAACTTATAAAGGGTGTTTATTAAAGAACGACACACGATTTAAGGCTTAAGGCTTTTTTGTCTGTTTTTACGAAACGAATTGATTCTTTTTGACCTTAGATTAATCTGATTAAGTAAGTTACTTACTGAATTAAATAATTTCATCGTATCTAAAAACATTTTTACTTTTATGAAAAATACTTCTTTATGTAGGTACCTACCAATTTTTGGAAAGGGAAAAATAAAATTACAATTTAGTATCATTTAATTATAATTAAGTTTTAATTAATTTTAACAACCAAGTTTCGTTAATTTTTGAGCGCTCTGTATTACATAGCCTAAATTATAGTAGACATTTGTTTGATAAATAAATAAAGACTAATGACTTTGCGAGTTTTATTTATGTTGTTTTTTGTTCTTTTTTGTAAACCTGAGCGTGTAATTACTAAACACTGATCTTCGGCATTTTTCGTTTCCAATTTAAAATAAATATTAATTAATATTATTTTTACTAACAAATTTTCTAATAAAAAAGTATAAGCTCCCCCTAATTTTTATAGCCCTTTTTCCTTAATTAATGTGGCCCTGCATATCAAAAATTATTAATTTAATATTTAATATGATTGTATACATAACCATAACACTAGAAATTGGTTCATTAATCAATTTTCAAGACTGAGCAAGTGTCAAAGTGGTCCTGATTATAAAATTAATTTTATAAAAAACTTCCAAGTCATGTAAAAAATATGTCATGTTATTTGTTTAAAGTCTTTTTTACCAATCATTAATTTTACATTTACATTTTAGTTTGTTTTTATATACCTATTTTAATTATATTTAATTTATTTTTTGAACTGTATTAATATTTTGTGTGGTACCTATTTTTTTATATTGTATTTTGGGTAGGTACACTTTTTGGTATAATCGCTAAAAAAAAATTAAAAATTGATCGTATAGACATTTTGTGTGCTAGCATTTTTTTATATTGTATTTATGGTACACCTTTTGGTATGATCACTAAAAAAATTAAAAAATAAATCGTATAAAAATACTTATCATATATGGATTATATCACGATTTAAAAGTCTTTAAAAACATCCTTTCTTAGCATAACATTATTATGTCATAAAATGGATGTCTTTAGAAATAAAATACCCCACTGGGAAAAATAATATTTCTACAATGTTATTATTTAACGTTACATTTGTTAGGTGTAATGTTACAAAAATACTTGTGTCAATGTTGCAGGAACATTGCAACAAAGCCTTATGGTTCAGGAACATTAAATTTACAAATAAAATGTTGCTTAAATATATTAATTGCAATGTTACTAAATGTTATTTTTGTAAATGTAAGGTTCCTGCAACATAACAAGAAGATTGCAATTAAATTAATATGAATTATTATAATAATAATTAATAATTATTATTTATCCGTCCAAAACTAAAGTTATAATTATAAATGTAATATTATAGTTACAATTTTCTAAAAATCTTGAAAATTAAATGTTTATATTGTTTATATAAAGCAACATTGCAAAAATCATCTTAATGTAATATTTCGGATGAAACATTGCCCAAAACTTATTAATGTAATATTATAATTGCAATGTTCCAAACATTTTGCAAATTAAATGTTTATAATGTTTATATAAAGTAACATTGCAAAAATCATCTTAATGTAATATTACGGATGAAACATTGCCCAAAACTTATCAATGTAATATTATAGTTGAAATGTTTCAAATATATTCCCAAACATTCCAAAATAAATGTTTCTATTGGATATTTAAAGTAAATTGCAAACATTTTTCATTTGAAATTATTATACCTAATTGTAATGTTTAAAAACTTTTATGCAACATTTTATACTAAATGTTACAAATATAACATTGTAAAAACTTTCGATGTGAATCTTTAAATAATGTTTCAAATTTAAGGTTGTTGGAAATTATTATATGCAATATTTCAAATGTAACATTTCATTTATGTTAATTTAAGTAGCACAGGAAATATTTTATTTGTAAAGTCGGCGAATATTGCAGCAATATTTTGTAAGGTTTCTTTCCCAGTGGGACGTTTCATAGACCTATATTGTTTTATTTAATTCTTAATAAACACGTAATTCTTCTAGTCATCAGTAACTTGTATATTATAAGGCGAATTAGGTCCAACATTGTTGGAATTTTTTTTAGCAGTATACTTTAAAAGGTATAAAATAAATAACAACAATATTATCATACTTAAAATCATAATGGATACAACTACGCGGTGATGGGTTCTCACAAATTTTTCAGGAAAACATTTAGGTAATTCGTGATCCTTCAGACTCATAATGGACCTATCGGAAAAGTCATCAGGGGTGGAACATCTGTAATAAAATAAGATTAAAGTTATACATAATAAACAATTAATTACACAAATCAACAGCAATTTTTCTGGATTACAAATGTTTTACTTAGGTTTTAAAACTAAAATATTGTTGGTTCAAAATAATTGAAATGGGGCTCATTTTTAAACCATCTAGGTATCCAAATGAAAAAAATTACAGCAAAAAATACAAGCAACTTTTTCTTATTTTACCCCCTTTTTTATTTTTATTCCAATATTCAATAGAAAATATGAACATGTTTCTTATGAATCATGATATTTATATTTCGGTTTTAACAAAAATAATTGAATAAGAAAACACATTTAATCCATTATTTCAAATTAGTACGTGTCTAGGGAGTTCCTAGTAGGAAATGATTTTTTTTAAATAAAATTAAGTGACTTAAAGAAAATTCCATTTGGAAAGAAGTATCGCTAGTGTACAACTTTTATTAATCAGCTGATGTCAAACGCTTATGTTACAAACGAGTGTTTTTGAGAATAAAGCCGGAAAATGTTAAAAAATATCGGAAAAAAACCGTGGCAAGATTTGTTGTGTTGTGTTGTGTTGAGTTTTTACCGGATTTCCAATAAACAGTGTTAATCTGAATGAAGAAATAAATTGCATACAGCCTCTGTAAATATAAATTGTACCTATTAGATACAATAAATACACATTTTAGTAGTGATTAACGTGAAAAGTGTAAACATTTCAATTCAGTAAAAATCGCCAAACAAATAAGTCGTCTAAATTTAAACAGTATTTAGCATTATTAAAAGCGTTGATTAAGAAAGTCTCTACTCAACGGTAAAATACCATTATATTATGTATTATATATAATATTATGTTGTCATGAATTCGTAGGTATATTTTGTTGTTTAAAATGCAGTTGTCGGTGCGGCGTTTTTTAGAGAACTCAAATATAAAAATGGTTGATTTTATGTTTGTGCAAAAATTTCTTAAAAATGTCCTAACTTAAATATAAATTATATTAGGTAAATTTATCATTAGATAATTCTGCACCAACAAATGTACAAACTGGATCCTTTGGCAAAACATGAAAATGCAACGATTTAGTTCTTGAATTTTATTTACAATTTAAAACACAATAATTCACCATGATCCCTTAGATAAAATACACACTAACGTAACTATATAAGCATTTAAGCGTTGAGTTTCTTAATCAATGATATAAGGAATAATCAATCGTAATCGAGTACTAAAATAGTTTTTTAATTTTTTCCTTGCAACGTAAAACACAAATAACGTGCGTTATTTAGCTGTGCAATTGAACAAAATTTGACGAGTCTTTTGTGAAAAAACTACCTAATTATTTAAAAATTATGTATAATCTGTGCTTTAAATGTATTGTTGACAATTCTTAAATTCACGCAACGCTATCGAAGTCCACCAGATGGCGCGCGCGTTGCGAAAATCCGATACTTCTTTAGCGTATAGTACCTAATCAATTTTAAAGCATGAACAATGTTCATTGAACATGATCCTTTAGGTATTGTTTAGGTACATGATCCTTTATGTATTGTTTCTTAAGTTAATTTTTATAGTATATTTTTTATCAAAATCTTAAAAAAACATTTTTTTACCACTTTTTAAAATTGCCATTTCAAATATCGTGCTGCGAACTTAGGAACACAAAAATATGACAGTTTTAAAACTTAATGATCCTTTAATGTGTTAATGAGTGGTTTTTTGATAATTAAAATACGTTTTATTTTTACTACATTGGCATAGCCAAATTTGCTGTCACGGCCTACCGTTATTTATTCATCAAATTGAGAAACTTAAATTTAGATAAATTTTAAAACCAAACAAACCTTAAATTTTTTTGATGATCTAAAACACTATTAGGTGTATTATATTTCTGCAACCAAAGTATATTACAATTACAATGCCATGGATTATCACTTAAGTCCACGTTTTTCATGACATCAAAGAAATACTCGTAACTATCATTTATAATCTGAAGTCCATTCCTAGCCAAGTAAATGGAAGTTGGATTTACATCATAGTTATGGTAAGTTGAACCAAAAACTAATTCATTAAATTCCTTTAAATTGGAACAATCAGTTATATACAGGATTTTCAACGACCTTAAGCTGAAGAACGCGTAATGGTGAATATTTACTAAACTGGGCATACGGTTGAGTTTTAAGACTTTTAAGGACTTATAATTTAAATATGCAGCTGATACAAAAGTAAATTTATTTCCGGATAAATCCACAAATTCAATGCTTTGAGGTAAACTTGGTATTAACTCCATTTTATTATCAGCCAATTCAATATGTTTAATTTTATTATATCCATCAAAAAACGAATTTATAAGTGTCGTAAAACCAACATTGTTCAGACTAATTGATGTTAAATTTGTGGTTATTTCCAGTTCTTTCAAGGTTCCTGGGAAGTTAAGAAATTCTGCTAATGGATTATAGCTCAGGTCCACAATAAATAATTCTTTTGCTGATGATAGTACACCCCAAGGTAATTTAGTAAGATTGTTGTAACTTAAGTCAAAATTATGCAGAATATGGAGTCCTTTTAACAGGTTTGGTTCTATACTTGTTAAATTATTATAACTTAAATCCAAGGCGTCAAGATTCGGAACCTCATCAAAAAATCCACCGTCGATATTCGACACTTGATTTCGCGATAAATTTATTCTCCTTAAAACTGTATTATTAAGTCGACTTTTCGCACTAAGAACTTGTATATTATTCAGCGAAACATCCAGGTAATTTAATTCAGAGTCCAGTTCACCATTGATAGGAAATTGGTTCAAGTTTATGTTGGAGCAATCCGCTACAGTTACTGGGAAAAGAAGTTCCGAGTCTGTCGTACGCTTGCAGACACATTTTTTGTCTTTTTTACTGTTCGAACACAATTCAGCAGTCACAGAACACACCACCAAACACAAAATAACTATTGTCTTAAACATTTTACACATCCACATATAATTTTAAGAATTGTTCTACTGCCTTATCTATATTATCAATTAATATTTAGAAATTGAATCATAGATAATTTAAGTAAATAAAACTAAGTATATTAATATTATGTGACTATTTGCTTTCATTATCTGAACCTCTTTTTACGAATTCCTTGCAAATAGGTGAGTTTTTATCATTTGATTGCAGTATCATTATTATTATTAAGGATACATTAAAACCTAAAAATAGAAATTTGTTGCAAAATGCAAAATTTATAAACTATATTAAAAAAGTTAATTATTATGTTGTAAAATGTTCAGTACAATATCGTGAGTGAGAAGAAATTGAAAATATTTCGACAGATTTTTAAAACACTTGTCCCAGGAAATAGGTTGTCTATTTAATAGACAGCGTCCAAATGGCAACAATTTATCAATCTCTCGTATTAGCTGAATTATTTTTTGACGTAACAACAATGCCCTAACAATGCCTCAACAATAAAGACAAATGTCACAAAAAAAAACTTAAAATTATTTTTTTCTACTCCTATTACGGAATATGACTGTTCTAATATCACTTTTTAATGTAGAATGATGTATATTCCTTAAAGTATTACAGAATAAATTATTCTCGGATATCTCGGATATTATCGCATGACGGAATGAACACTGGTAGCGACATCTCTGTGTTTAATATTTAACAAATTTTAGACAGATCCAACCTCAATTTCTTCCAGTTAAATTATTTTTCTATGGTATTTTTTGGAAACGTAAAAAAGTATAGTCTGAAACATGTTTGGAATTACATATTCCGCTCTCGTGAAATGCCGTATTCCAAACTTACAGAATATACTATTCCAGCAAAAAAGTGTATTATTTTCACTAATGTTTTGATTGGCTAAAACATACCCACATGACTGAAATTGAAAGTTTTCATTGGTATTTAGAAACAAAAAAATAATGATTGCAATGTATTTAAATACGAACAATGCTATTTTAAAAAATTAAAAGAATTTTTTTGATAAATATTAATATCAAACTCTTCTTATAAGTATACGAGGTGTGTTCAGAAAATATCGGGAATTTTCGTTTTTTGAAACAAATATTTATTTATTCGTCTACATTAATGTTGTTGCCTTCAAAATAGTCCCCATTGGATATTATGCACATGTGCCAATACTCGAAACACTTCTAAAACTCGATCCTTGAGATAGCCTTTAGTTCTTTCAGCGATGCGCTTTTAATGTCATCTATGCTTGCAAAACGACGGCCCTTTAAGGTTCTTTTTATTTTTGGGAATAGGATAAAGTCAGACAGAGGCATGTCTGGCGAATATGGAGGCTGGGGCATCATTACAGTATTGTTTTTGGCCAAAAATTGTGTTCAAAATTTAACAATTTTGGAACAAATTTTGCTGCAACGCGTTTCATACCCAAAACATTTGAAAAAATTTCAAAGGATGAGCCAATCGATATACCAACATCATCAGCGACTTCTCTGATGGTTTATAACCATTTCTTCCACTTTTTCCATATTTTTATCGGTTGTTAATGTGGTTGTGCGTTCGGGGCGTTCGTCATCTTCAACGTCTTCACGGCCATCTTGGAAACTCTTATATCACTTGTAAACTCTTGTTTTACTTATAGCAGACTCACTATAGGCCTTTGTTAACATTTCACAGAATTTATTTCATTTTTTAAGCACAATTGGATACAAATACTTTGATCCATTTCTTTTAACGAACGAAAATCGCCGAGCTCATAAAACACGTCTAACCTTAGCGGCTGCCACAGACAAAGTAAACAATGAAAACAGCTAAAGTTTTTATCATACTTCGGGGGCATGTATACCAACATAATAAATAAAAATTTTTGACCCTCCGAAGCCACGAAATTTAACAATTCCCATTATTTTCTGAACACACCTCGTACATATAAATATAAATTTATGTTATACCTACAGAGTATCCCGAAAATACGTGTAAAATAATGTTATCTTCAATATATCCAAAGTTGCTTAGGGGACATCCATTAATTACGAGAGGCATTTTTCTGATAATTTGGACCCCTCCCTCCCCCTTGGTGAGATGTAGTATCCCTCACGTGAGATTCTATAGCTATTAAACTTTGTTTGCCAACATGATAAACCCAAAAAAAAATGATTACTTTTTTTGACAAATTTGAATTATAATACATATTTTTTAAAGTTAAAAGTTGACGTGAGATTTTAAATGACCCCCCTCCCTTAACATGATATTTGGTGAGATTTTGCTAGAGCCCTCCCCCCCTATTTTTATCTCACTGAATGGATGTCCCCTTAACTTATCCTGTTGAGGGCTTTGTGTACAGGAAAAGTTTATAAAAAAACAATTAAACAAAGAAGCTTGCAAATTGTAAAGCCCAAATCAAAGAGCAAGGTCTGAATAAGAAAAGAAGGCCTTGGAATAAAAAGGGGACTTATTTTCAAGGCCCTTAAATTGAGGGCATCAATTGAAAAGTTTCTCATAATATTAATTAATTGTCAATTTTAGGAAAATAAATTTGATAATTTTTTTCCTAAAAATGACAATAAACCTTGTTATGATGTAATACTAATACATACTATTTTCTTATGCACTCTGCACCAATTAAGAAGTTATCTGTATTTGTATTTTTTTATTTGAAGAGAGAAAAGTAGCATTATAATACTGTAATGACATAAAATATATAAATATAAAAAACAGCAGTTCTAAAAATATAAAAAAAAGTTTTTTTTTCATCCAATTTCTTTATTTTAAGTTAACATATTTTGTTTATTTAATGGCAGCCATAAAAAAACAAAAGATGGTGGTCAAAATCTAGTGGGCGAAAAAAATCATTAATTGGATAAACATGTAGGTACATAAATGTGAATGTGAAACATTATTTCAAAATTCCCAAGAATAATGAAGTTATAACGGTTTTTGGTTTTAACATCTTTTTAATTTTTTTCAAATTATTTTTAATTTCCTTTTCTTATAGACTTGAAATTACACAAATATTCTCTAATTCAACTGACTCGAAATATACATACATGCACCCTGTATAGCAATATTATGTTCATTTCCTGACAAATATTATTTTGGGTTAAGTCTTTAAGGCTTTTGTATTTATTTGCCAACAAACCCTAAATATTTAATACCAAATAAAAATAGCTTTAATTTTGTTGCATTTTAATTTTTTGCCACAATTTTAACTTAATAAAATATTTTTAGAAGAGTAAAATATTTATTAAAGCCGCTTTAGTGTGAGAACAAAATATTTGTATTATTCTTTAAGCTATATAGCTTATATGTAGGGTACCCTACAGATTTTAAAAGTATCAAACAAATTATTTCAATAACATATATTTTATTGATATAGTAATGGGCAATGGTTCTGATTTAAATGCAGTCGCTTTATATGATCATTTACAGTAAATAAAATATCTAAACTTTCGACGATGTTCTGAATGGTATAATAATAACTTATATAAAAAAAATATTGTTAGGAGACCAGTACTTTTCCTCGACTTTCCACTGCACTAGGAGCAATTTCTGCATCAGTATCTTTGGGGGCGTCCATTCCTCTGAAACGAATGTTGTGCTTTTCTCTGAAGTCATTGATTTCTTGTCCTTTCTTTGAAATTTGTTCGTTTAATTTTTCAATGAATTCGGCTAGTTTTTCTTGGTTGGTAATTAGCACTGGTAAAACATCTTTAACTTTTCTTTCCGTTAAAACTCCTCCAACTAATCTAAAGCATTTTCTATCATCATTTACGTTTTTTAACGTTTCTATTACCATTCTGAAAAATATGTGGTTATGTTAGTATTTTATTTGAAATGGTTACTGACATCTATAAAATAGTAGTTATTAGAGCATAATCAACGTATTTTAATAATAAATGGTGCTTATAATAGTTTACTTTTCTTGTAATTTAATTAAAATTGTACCAGGTGTACTCACTTGTGTTCATTTAAATCTAATTCAAATTCTGATAGTTTAGATGTAAGTGTTCTTTGTTCAGCCCTCAATGATTGGAAACCATTCATAATTTCTTCTGGGGTAAGGGTTTTTTCCTTTGAATCGGGTTTTTTTGAATTACTTGCCATTTTTGGTAATTTTTTCGGAAAAACTAATGACAGAAGAAATTGAGTGAAGTTTGCAACAAAATTTGTAACTAACTTCGGTTGAGTTTTGTGACCAACACAAAAAAGTAAAATGTAACCATGCTTTAAAATATGAATTATTTATTTGTTTATAATGTTTTTCGTATTATTTTACTTGTAATTTAACTTTTATATTGAAATAAGTTTATTGTAAGAAGTAAAAAGCAATGTTTTGTTATTTTAGCAGTAAAAATTCTTCGATTCTGGTTACTTTCACAGTGGCCATAGTGGCCATGTTGCGAGTTTAATTTATGGAGCAATTAAATTTGCTCGTAAATGTAGGCGTTAGCAAATCACGTTAAAAATACTATTGTAGCTGTATATTTAAATGTTTAGTTTATTTAATTGAACTGTATTTTGATGTGTTTAAGTGATACGTGTGGTTTAAAAGTTTATTAATAGTTTGTGAAGTATAAAGCCGACACCGTTTCAAATCGTCAACAAAAGCCAAAATGTTTCTTATTGTCAACGAAACTGAAGAAATCTTCTTATAAATTTTTCACTGGTAATAACGGAAGAATAATTTAAGAAAATAAAAAAAAGAGCTTGTTCCTATAATGTCAACATATCAGAAGAGTCATTGAACCTTTTTTGGAAGCAGAAAAATTATTTGTGATTAATATTGGTGGGAATTGGGTTAATAAATAATCCTCATGACCATTCAGATTGTAATTTTTGATTTTATTTGCTATTTATGGGTAATGACACAGCAAAAGATATGGAAACTGAATCTGTAAAGTCTGAGAACAGTTCCAGATCCAGACGTTCCAGAGGACATCGAGACAGAAACAATTACAGGCAGCATTCTCACAGAAGTTCAAGGTAATAGATATACACCCAGTTGTAAATGTAAAAGCCATTTGGTTTAATATTTGAAAGTATGCATGTATGAGTAGGCAATTAAAAATATAACAAAACTGGTTTATCAGGGTCCAATTATTATAATTTTGTTTTCCTACTATTTTATGGTTTACAGTAGGCACTGCCATAAATTGTTGTTTAAAACCATATACAGAGCTAGTTGCAAATCCTGCCAACAACCACATATAAAAATGTAACAAAAAATTTTTAAAATTATTAAAAACAAGTCAAAACATATTGTAAAATATATGGGGTGTCCCAAAATACACTTAACCTTCTTACCACAAGACAATTAATTATAAAATATGACCCCTGAATAGTTTTAAGTAGTTAAGTGTTTTAAGAAAACGACTAAAAAAATAATTTGGTAAATTAACTTATCTTAGAACAGGTCTGTGCACATACGGGGTTTTGGGAGAAACATAAGGAGACTCTTGATTTAAAATACCACAGTATATGCCATATTTTAATCTCAACCAAACTGTAGAAAACTGCTAAATTTTTTTAGGGATGTTTAAAAAAACTTTATTGGGCCATCGACCTAGGTCCTTTACAACTTAAATAATATGTTTCTATATATATAAAAAAATGTTATTTACCTACTTATATAAAAAAAGAAAAAAATTAACAAATTTTATCATAATACTCATATATTTAAACTGTGTAACGATATTGGGAATATTAATAATCTAATAAAGGAGGGTGTTTGGTGGGTTATAGAGGGGTTGTTGTGATTTCAGGTTTTTGTAATTTTTCTGATTGCTGTTTTTTCTGCAAAAGTTGCTGAATTTTTCTATGTTTCGGCCATTTTAACGCCTTTTTAAAGTAGTGAAAAAGCGTAAAAATGCCCGAAACATTATATAAACTCAGCAACTTTATATAAAAAGTTAGCATGGCAGCATACCTCTCCACTCGAAATTATCGCTTAACCCTATCGAAAAAGCTTTTTTTACACTGTCAGGGCTCCCACACCTCCTAATACTCATAAAATTCCTAAAATTTTGCTTAAATCTTAAAAACCAGTAAAATTTTCCTAAAATTGCCATCAATCTCCTAAAAATTAAATATAAGTACGCCAACTTGACTGCGTTTAATTAAGGTATACCTGTACTATAGTTGTCATGCTAACAATTTAAAAAATATAAATTTTTAGGTTCTAGTTTATTAAATTCTATTTAGCCGTTAGCTAATTAGCCAAGCTAAGCTAGATTAACCGGTTAAGCCGTCAGCGAATTAGCTAAGCTAATTCAGTTAACTGGTTATTAGCCCTAATTATTAACTAAACGGTTTACATTTTTTTTCTCAAAATATAAATAAAGGGTGTATCAATAAGAGCGCAAGATTTGAATTTCGCCTCAGTTTGGCAACCATGATGTCACATGATTAATGACATGACAGATTGATAGGAGACAGATGGAAGTTAGTAAATATAGAGCATTACACGATAGAACAACCCGTCCTGATTGTTAAACACTATTATCAAAATGATTAATTGCCACGATTCGTAAAGGGCGTCCAATATTTTTTCGAAATAATGTTCCTAATTCATCTACTGTGAAAAGAAAAATCGAAAAATTTGAAAGCACTGCTTCGGTTAGTGATGTGAAACACACGACACGAGCTCGTTCAGAACAAAATGTCGCAGCAGTTCTCAAGAGTGTGGTCGAGAGTCCAGAGACGTCGATTTGCCATCGTGCACAAGAATTGGACATTACAAAAGCCACTCTTCAGCGAATTCTTACTTAAGATTTGCATCTTCATGCCTACAAAGTCCAATTGACTCAACAACTCCAGCCAAAAGACCATTAACAGCGAAGAGAGTTCACCAATTGGATCCTTGAGCAGCAAGAAGTGAATGCCGATTTTGCGGACAAAATCATTTTCAGTGATGAGGCCCATTTTCACCACTATTTAACACCCTTGGACTTTTGGCTGTGGGGTTATTTGAAGTCACAAGTTTATGCCAACAAGCCCGCCACCATCGAAGCCTTAAAAGCAGAAATTAGACGCTCTATCAACGAAATACCGCCACATGTATTCAATAATGTTATTGCAAATTTTGCCAAAAGAATACGCTTGTGCCAGTTAAGCCGTGGTCGCCATTTACCAGATGTGTTATTTTATACATAATTTCCAAATGTGTACTTTATAAATCAATAAATATTTCAATGCTTTAATACTTAAAATCATGTTTTACTAAACTTTGAAATCTTGCGCTCTTATTGATACACCCTTTATAACATCAGTTTGACTTTCTCCTAGTTTTTTAGCCATATCTATCGACGCGTTTTTTTTTAATTAAATTAAAAGTGGTGAAATTTCTACTTGTGTATATACCTCAGATATATGAGGAGTGATTTTTCAAGAGGCCTTATTTCCATTTTTACTTGAATGTAATTTTTTGACAAAATCCCAAAGGTATGGTTAAAAGACATATATTAACGGCGAAATATGACAGCAGGTCTGAAGTATTATTAAATATTCATCAGAATTTTTTTTTTAAATAATCTATATTGCTCTAACCTATACAGGTTATAGTCATTTTTTTGAAAAATTGTTGCAAATGGAAATACGACCTTTTGAAAAATCACTCATCATACACAAAGTAGTAATTTTACCTTACTTTTAATTATATTAAAAAAAAAACTCGTCGAGCGATTTGGATAAAAAACTAGTCAATTTAACCTATTTGTACAAAAGAAGTGATATTTATTTATATATTTGTTAAAAAGATTTTTTTTTCTTATTTTTTAAGAGTTGGTTCTATTTAATTAGATAAATTCTTTTGCATACTTTATTTCTCCTAAAATTCTCCAAAAAACCTTCTAAATTCCTAAATAAAATTTGTAATTTAGCCGTGAGAGCCCTCTGTGTGACAAAACAATTGAGGAGGTGCATTCCAAAATTCGGCTTATCCATATTAGGTGATTTTGAGCAAAATGTCAAAAACCTTACACGTACGTGAGTACTAACGCATATCAGGCCTACAGAATTCTTTAAACGAAAGATACAGGCATAAGTATAACATTTATATACCTTGATTAAAAAGGTATAGGTCCAATTTGAAATAATTTAAAATTGCATACGTATATGGCAGTTCTGACATGATATAACCTAAAGATAAGGCAAGTTTTGGTCAATTCGTAAATGAATTTTAAATGAAATAAGGTGAGTTTTAGAATAGTATGACCTTTTCAGGGTATAGGGGGCACTAACTCATTTTTATTAAAAAGTGGATAAGCCGAGTTTTGGAATGGAACTCCTCAATTGTCAAAAATAAATAAATCACGTGAAACTTTGAAAAACGTAGTTTTTATAATACATACATAATAATACTAAGTATATTATTTTAGGAGCAGCAAATCTAGAAAAGTCGATGACATGGCTCCATTCCAAACTTCAGTAACTTTAACCCCAGACAATAGGGATGGTCAAGAGGTGATTGAAGTTCAAATTTTGCCCCAAGATGATAACTGGGGAGAAAACACCACTGCCATAACTGGGAACACATCTGATCAATCGGAATCGACTGAGGATGTAAGCAACTGGCCTGGAGAGCCAGACACTGGCCTGGGATTTATGTGCCAGCGTTATATGGGCACTGTTTTTACTTACGTGCTCTCAATTGTGGCCTTTCTGAGTCCACTTGCCATGGTGGTTTTGCCTAAACTGGGATTTTTTCCCGCCTTATCTTCTCGTTTGGGTTTGGCAGATGGGGCTAAGATTTTAGCCTGCGGTGCCGAATGCAAAGGCCAGTTGGTGTCGCTTGCTTTTAAAATGGCCGTATTGGCTGTTGGCGCATGGGCGGTTTTTCTTAGAAAGCCGCACGCCACTTTACCGAGGTTCTTTCTGTTTAGAGCAGCAGTGCTGCTCTTCGTCCTGGTTTGTAGTTTCGCTTATTGGCTGTTTTATATTGTGCAAGTCACGGAAACGGCGCGAGCGGCCACAACGCCGGAGGAAACCGTTGATTATAAAGCCTTGGTTGCCTATGCTTCCAGTCTGACGGATACGTTGCTATTCATACATTATTTAGCGGTTGTTTTGGTAGAAATAAGGCATTTACAACCTTTGTACTACATTAAAATCGTGCGTAGTCCTGACGGTGCCAGTAAAGCCTACGGAATAGGGCAGCTAAGTGTTCAAAGGGCGGCAGTTTGGGTGTTGGAGAAGTATTACACCGACTTCCCCATTTATAACCCCTACTTGGACCGTATCCCAGTATCGAAGTCTCGCAAAACGTCGTCGAGCTTCAAATTCTACGAAGTGGACGGAGTGAACAACTCCGCCATCCAGCAGTCGCAATCGCGCGCCATGCTGGCCGCGCACGCGCGCCGCAGGGACTCGAGCCACAACGAGCGCTTCTACGAGGAGCACGAGTACGAGCGGCGCGTGAAGAAGCGCAAGGCCAGGCTGATAACGGCCGCAGAGGAGGCGTTCACGCACATAAAGCGCCTGCACAACGACCAGGCGCCGGCCATTCCGATGGACCCGCACGAGGCGGCGCAGGCCATCTTTCCTTCGATGGCGCGATCGCTGCAGAAGTACCTGCGCGTGACGCGCCAGCAGCCGCGGCACTCCGTCGAGTCGATTTTGATCCACCTGGCGAGCTGCTTGAGCAACGACCTGACGCCCAAGGCGTTCCTCGAACCGTACATAGTGAGCGAGCCCGTGCTGCAGAACGAAAAGGAGCTCAAAGACGTGCAGACGTGGGCGCTGATTTGCGAGGAGCTCTTGACGCGACCCATCGGCGAGAACACCACCTTTCAGTTGAGGCAAAACGACGTGTCGCTGCTGTGCACGATCAAGAAACTACCTCACTTTAACATTACCGAGGAAGTTGTCGATCCTAAAAGCAACAAATTTGTTTTAAGATTAAACTCCGAGACTTCGGTATGACCAACGATATTCGATAGACTGATATAATTTTTTTACATATCCCCTTAGTTTTAATGTAGGACTTAATTTATTCAATTCTAATTAATATTACTATTTTGTTATTGAAGCATAAAGTCGGTTTCATATACAGTGTGTCTACTTAAGTTGGCAACATATGGGAAACTTTTTATTACAAATTTTACAAAGAAGAATTATTCTTTATAAAATGTTCTAAAATCTAAAATAAAATCATCAGATATCAGATTTTTCAGTCATATACGAGGTATGGCAAAAAATATGAATTTGTTACAAGACCTGTTGACTAGTACCTTTATTTGTGACAATATTGAAAACTGTAACTATGAAAAGTTGTTCGAAAAAAAAACTATGTTTTAATATGCAATTACATCCTTCTATTTAAAAAATAGTTTTCACAAATTTTTCTCAAATTACCGATACCGAACAATATTTTTTTTATCTATTACAAACATGATAACCTTTCCGTTCCGTTCAGAAAGTAATACGCTAAAGAAGTATCGCTAGTAGCGCCACCACTCGGCTGTTATCATCGTAACAAAAGTAAAACTTTTAATCAGCTGTCAGACACTTATGTTACAAACGAGTGTTTTTGAGAATAAAGCCGGAAAATGTTAAAAAATATCGGGAAAAAAAACCGTGGCTCGATTTGTTGTGTTGTTGGGTTTATGTTGAGAGGAAATCTTGGGTTGAGTTTTAAGATATAAATTGCATACAGTCTCTGTAAATATAAATTGTACCTATTAGATACAATAAAAACACATTTTAGTAGTGATTAACGTGAAAAGTGTAAACATTTCAATTCAGTAAAAGTCGTCAAACAAATAAGTCGTCTAAATTTAAACAGCATTCAGCATTATTAAAAGCGTTGATTAAGAAAGTCTCAACTCAACGGTAAAATACCATTATATTATGTATTAGATATAATATTATGTTGCCATGAATTAATGAAGGTATATTTTGTTGTTTAAAATGCAGTTGGCGTTTTTTAGAGAACTCAAATATAAAAATGGTTGATTTGTACAAAAATTATTTTTTACTAATTTCTTAAAAATATCCAAACTTAAATATAAATTATATTAGGTAAAGTTATCATTAGTTAATTTTGCACCAACAAATGTACTTACCGAATTGGATCCTTTGGCAAAACATGAATATGCAACGATTTAGTTCTTGAATTTTATTTACAATTAAAAACGCAAAAATTCACCATGATCCCTTAGATAAAATACACACACCAACGTATTTATACGCATTTATATAAGCATTTAAGCGTTGAGTTTCTTAATAAATGATATAAGGAATAATCAATCGAAATCGAGTACCTACTAAAAAGTTTTTTAATTTTTTTCCTTGCAACGAAAAACACAAATAACGTGCGCGATTTAGCTCGGCAATTAAACAAAATTTGTCGAGTAAGACTTCTGCCTTCCCCTCTTTTGTGAAAAAACTACCTAATTATTTAAAAATGATGTATAATCTGTGCTTTAAATGTATTGTTGACAATTCTTAAGTTCACGCAATGCTATCTAAACCCACCAGATGGCGCGCGCGTTGCAAAAGCCCAATACTTCTTTAGCGTATAAGCAAATTCTGATGTTTTGACATTCAATGTCAAACATTTCTTGCTATCGACAAATCATTTGTTTGTCAGTGCATCCTAGATTACATGTAACTACAGTTACATTTGCATTTTTATTGTAAACAAAAAAGAAAAAATGATTTTTTCCATGTAAATGGAAGTAATTGCATTTTTGGACGTAGTTTTTAGTTCTGATCAACTTTTTTGAATAAGAATTTTCGATATTGTCAAATATAAAGGTACTTTACTCTTGAGTAAGATTAATATTTTTTGATAAACCGCGTATACGCCTGATATTTTTTTATATCTGATGATTGTATTTTAGATTTTAGAACATGCAGAACTTTTTAATGAAGAATAACTTTTTTTCCTAAAATTAATAATAAAAAAGTTTCCCATATGTTGCCAACTTAAGTAGACACACTGTAGATGCGAATATTCGCGTTTCGCAACTTCCATTTCCAATAGAATGCGAACGGTCGGAACTATTTTAGGGACGTTGTTTTCTTACTAGGCGATATTTGCCATCCTATTTTAAGTACTTAAATAGTAAAGTTACTTCAAGTGACTATAAAGGTAAATAAAAAACAAAATAAATAGAGATGGGAAAATTCCAATTTGACGAAAATTACCGGAAACTTTCCATCGAAAATTCCCGAAACTTTCCGAAAGGTTTTTATTGCGAAAATGAGTTTTTTTGTACCAGGAGGATTGCAAAAATAAATATTATTAACTACCTATATAGGAATATTGAAAAGTAAAAGATACTAAAAATAGTATTGCAGTTCTGACCAATACAATATGAAAAAACTACAGGCAAAATAAAATCAACATTTTTGAATGAGCCTGAGTCTATCGTTTTTAAAACACAGGCTCTAAGTTGCTACAATTATATTTATTAGTGCCACCCCATTGACATATTTCCAACCATCTGAAATAATTGTCCTATTATCAACCTCTTGTACTTTATCTTCAACTACTTTTTTGATATTAGCATATTTAGAGTTAAGCAATATTGTACTTAATTTCTTTCTTCCAGGTAGCTTGAAACTTGGACATAGTTGCAGGGTTTTCGTCTAAACTAATGAGGCAAGAACTAGAGTAAATTGCTCAAGCAAATAGTTCTTCCAAATTATTTTGTTCATTAAAAGAAAAAAAATTCTTTTGTTTCCAGTACTGGCTTGCTACCTGATGGACTCTCTTCTTGACTTTCACTAGAATTTTGAATAAATAATCTAATAATATAAGATATTATCTTGTGGGTCACAAAGACTTTTTTATGTTTGACCATTTTGGTTGCATATATATTTACATATATTTTTTTACAGAACTTGCATTGAGCATGGTCTTTTTTTTGTACTGTTTTATAATAATTCCAAATAAAAGATTTTTTATTGGCATTCTACTGTACCTATAAATAAACAACAAAAACGTTGGAATGATTTAAACTTTGTTTATTGTTTCTATTTTGTTTACCTTTTAAAAGGATTTTATGCAAATGTTTTTTGCAAACGATTTATGAATTGTGATGATAAGATCTTCAACAAACTTCTTTAAATTAACACAAATTAACTACTTCTTATTCGAAAATGGAAACTTTCCGATTCCCATCTCTATAAATAAACATAAATGGCTTAAGTGTGATAAGCAATTGCATTAATGAGCATGCGAAACGCATGCGCATTACGCCAAATTAGTGCGATTTCTCGCTATTCGCATTTCGCAACCATATGTAACCGACTTAATACTAATCAATTGTATTTTAGGTGGTTAAACTAATCCTTCTTTTAACCAAAAATTATCCATTTTACGAAAGTGTAAGATATTGTTAGCTAAGTACCAAAATAACAGTGGTTTACAGCCAAAATGTACATTTAATGCCACTATTCTTTTCTAATGAACTGGCCTGCTGAATTCAAAAATCATTTTTTTTTCATTTGTTTTTCGAATGCAGCTTTACAATTTGGGCCAATCTGGTTGCAAAAGGTTTCAAACTAAACACAATCGAATCGCCAACTAATATCAGTCCGTATCATTTGAGTAGTTTTTTTGCCAAAAATAAGAATGCATTATTAACCTTTTCGCCAAGAACGAATTAAAATCATCGAAATATGAAATGTATTGTTTAATTGCAGGAGCTAAACGTTTTTGATATCTAGGTGTTCTTAGTCCAACTTGTAACAAACCCAAAAAGCTCTTCAGTCTGCGTGGGCAGCTTCAAATGCCTGCTCAGAATAATTTCATGATTAATCTTCGCACATTTGTAAAAATTCGGAAACAGGATAGTTAATGGCATGAATTTTGGAAGTTAATAATTTTTTAGACTTAAAAGACATTTACTACTCAGAACAGCACCGTGAAAAAACTACTGAGTCATCTAATGCAACACAATAACTACATGTAGATAATTTGAAAATGGTCATATTTCAAAGATTTTTATTTATTCTTGGCGGAAAGGTAAATGTAGCATTCTTATTCTTGTCCAAAAAAAGGATTTTTTTTAATATTCAAAACCATTGTACTTAACTGATTAATAAGACAGTGATTTTTGTCGCCGATTCGATTGGCCGTTTCTAACTCGAGATATGACTCAAATTGTAATTGTAAAGCTGCCTTTAAAAAATAAAATAAAAATTCATATAAAAAAACTTGCAATACAAAAATTATTTTGATCTTTGAGTTAAGCTGGCCAAAATAAATTAGAAAAAAATAGTGTCACCGAAAGTACATTTTATTTTTATTAATTTGTAAACCAGTTTAATCCATCAAAAGTACATATCTAAATTTATAACTATTTTTAAGAAAACTTCGTAGACATCCCAACATAAGGGTTTTATCATTACACTTTTTAGCACTTGGCATAAACTTATGTAAATACTATTTTATATAGGAAAATATTTATAAAATACGTACCATTGGACATCTCATTTTTAATACTCGATAATTTTTAATTTTGCTGAAGCAAATTATTTTTGTAAAAAAAATATTGTGATATTTTTGTATTTCTTTGCATTTGTCTAAAATAATGCTCAATTATTTTTTAAAATTTATGTATCTACTCGTAATAACAAGGGCTACATATTTATTATTTTATTTTTTATATTACCTGCATGCAAACATGGCAATATGTAATTAAAACGCCCTCTAGAATAGCTTAGGTTTAAATACAAGTATTTATAGCACAAATATATTGTAATAATAAGGTACTTATGTATATGAAACAAAGGTTAAACAAAAATTTTACTTTTATATTTTTTATTCCATTCTTTAAATAGTTTAACATATATCAAGTTACTTGATTCAAGTACTCAAAGTTGTGCAATTTTTTATACAAATATGTAAAATTGTATTTATCTACAGTATTCTAAAATAAAGACATTTTACAATGGATTTAGGTAGCTTTTTATAAATAAATGTGTGTGTTAAATATACGTACTGATTTTTAAATTAAATAAGCGTTTTTATTTCAAACAAATAAAACATTGGTAAATATTTATTTATTTAACAACCAGATACAAGTACAGAAATATAATTTCCGTCTATTGGAGGTAATAAATTACCTGTACATAGGTCCAGTACATAACTTAAAACTAAAATAATATATGTCAGAGATTAACGAGGGCAACTGAGGGTTAGGCTGCCTAGACATTTTAAAAGAATGCACGACACTGGTTTTTAATATAAAGTTATTTACTAAAACACGTAGTCAGATTAATCTGCACAGAACACAAAATTAATAATAATCGTCCCAAACTAATTATTAGCTATAAAAAGGAAACCAACGATCCGCGACCCGCTAGATCAACAATAGTCAATCAAAAATCAATTCAGAGATTCAACTTGTCATAAGAAGAATCAAGAACACTCTGTCCGGGCTCGTTTCGTTCGCAAGCTTATCTTGGCGGTTTCCATAAAAAAACTAGGGGGCGTACCCTAAACACATTTTCTACCTTTTAAAAACTACAACTATTTTGTCTAGACAAATTCACAATAAATTATATCAACTAAAATAAACGTATCGTATTAGTGTTAGACTTAATCATAAACACCCAATACGAAGAAAATGACATTCTCCACATGCTTGGGACTTTTTGTTTAGCCTAAACATCGTCACATAAATCTTATCAACAAAAATAAACAAAAGGGTGAGAAAGAATCATGAGCGTACACCAATAATTAATAAAGGCGCCGACATATATATTTTTACTACAGTTTATAATTTGACATTTAATAATATTAATTAAACTTAACCCTTTATCTCACTTTGGTATGCATATGTACCACTTGCCATAAAGTCGAAATTTAATAAGGTTTAAAGAGAATTTCAGCCTTAAGGGACTCTATGGGCCTATGGACGTTCTTTGGTACACACACAATCCACACAACATTGTGTAGATTGTGGGTACACATAGGTTCCACTAAATATGATGTCAGCGCCATCTATTGGCGAAATTATTAAAAGTGGTACAAATATGTACCAAGGTTTACAATATTAAAATAAAAAAATATTTAAAATGGTATAAAACCTGTAATATTTGGATTTTTTAAATAAAATTTTAAATTTGTCGATAAATTATAGTAGATAATAAATTACACCACTTTAATTTAAATTATCTCAAATAGGGGGGCCTAGAGGCGGTTGAGGCAACAGGAAAAACTAACTTTTTTTCGCAAACTTTAATTTAATTTCTGTTTGCGCCGAACTTGTTTAGTAGAGGTGACGAAAAAATAATTGTAGAGAATTTTTGGAATTCTGTATTTTTTGTTTAATTGTTGTTTTAAGTTAATATTGCGTTTTTTAAAACTAAGCATAAGAATATCTATACCATGTTACTGTTAGTTTAATTTTATTTCAATGTTTTTTCATGGATAACTTGACAGAATAATTTTTTGTAAATAGTAATTATTGTGCATTTTTAATTTTCCTACAAAATCGTTCCTACTTTTTGAATAAAATAGTGCCGTGCATAGATTTTAAAAAAATCGTTAATATGAATTCTTAAAAATGTACTTTCAAAAACATAGTAGGCCTTGCATTTTGTAAAAATATGTTTTTTTGCCCCAAAAATACAGTTTTTTAAGATCTACACTTTAAAACTAATCCGGTTAAAATCGCACAATAAATAAAGATCGCAAACAAATGGGTCACACTGTGTATATAATATATTATTAAAAAAAATAAAACATAAGTAGATATCTGAAGAAAATATTTTATTGAAATAAAAATAATACAAAAATAATAGAATTATTTTTAAACATCCTTGTAAAAACTAAAATATGCTCAGAGTCTTCTTGCATTTATGAAGATATTACATCTACAGTACAAAAACTTAAAATAATTAAACAATTTAATGAAGAAATATACCTTAAATATTTAAAAAGCATTAAGTAATTTACATCGAGTCGTATTTTCAATGTTTATTAAAACAGTCTGTTTAATAAAATAATCTTTTTTAAAAATAGATAATTTCGTAAAGCACTAATTTATAATGAGGCACCTAGCTTCTATTCTACCAAACGGACAGCTAAATTTAAGTGGCAAAAGTATGAATTAATACATTAAATGTATATTATATTTGTATTAAATCTAAAGTTATGGCGGTTTGGGAACAGACTGTTAAAGACGGATAAATGAATGAATCGACTCGCTGTTCGACGTTTACATGCGTCTCCTACCCGCACCGTGGTTGGAACCGCCACTACCGCCCCCACCGCCGCCGCCGTTACCCATGCCCGCCGAGTTGAGGAACAACTCGATGTATCGATGTTGCATGTTGCCTTTATCTTTGCTCATCGCCCGCAGAGCGTCGTCGTGCGACGCAAATTCTACATCAGCCTCGCCGGATGCCCTTCCGGTGTGATCTTGTAAAAGTCGCACTGATATCGGAACGATGGGTCTGAAAAACTAAACAAAAACCCGTTCATGACAATAATTTTTCTGTAATTGAGGCGTTTCTCGGAAAAACATCATTAGTCCAATATCGTCGAAATTTAGATATTAGCACCAACTGTTTCCTAACCCCAATATATACGTATACAAATAAGTGTTTCTCGTAAAAATGTCATAGGTTCCATAATAATTAAATATGAAATTTGGCTTCTAAAAACATCACAAGTCCACTCCGTTTCGTCTAAGAAAGTCACATGTGCATAACAGGTGACGTTTTTGGACACTCTAGAAAAGCTTCTACCTCTTTTACATGACCACAGCAATAGAAAATTTTATGATAACTTGATAAAACAGGGTATCCTCTTTTAAAACCATTTCAAATTCCCTGACTTTTCCAGGTTTTCCCTGACCAAAGTCCCTATAATTCCAGATAAATAAAAGAAAGACATAAAGACAATTATCTCCCAAAATAGTGTCCTATCAGAATTATGCTAAGTCAAAAATAGCGTTTATTTTTGTTAATATTTATTTAAAAACTAAATATTATAATAAAAATTAAAATAAAATTTTAATAAAAACAGTTTAACATAAAATAGATTCTTTGGTACAAACATAAAAAACATTCTTTGGTATACATTTACACAAATATACCATATTCATCAAAGCAATGCACAACAAACTTTAACAATTTAAAATTAATTATGACAATAATTAATAATTAATAATAATAATAATAATTAATTAATTAATAATTAATAATAATAATAATAACAATTATTGTTTTAATTATTGTTAATTGTTAGTTTGTTTATCAGGTGCATTGCTTTGCGATTTTTTAGTGTGTAAAATTTTTTTGTGTAAAATCCTTGATAATTACCGCCGTTACGGCTGCGCCGTACGAAAACAATTGTTTACGATACCAGTGTTGCCAATACGGCGACTTTCAACGAAAAAGGGTCAGAAAACAAGCCGTTTTATAAATTTTCCTGACTTTTACCATAATATTAACAAATTCCCTGACTTTTGCGCTGACTTTCAAAATTCCCTGACTTTTCCCTGATTTTATTGGACTTAAACGGATTCCCTGACTATTCCAGGTTTTCAAGGATTTCCAGGTGAGAGGGAACCCTGTAAAAGACCAGAAGACCATAGCACCTGACCGTCCTGATAACACGGTCGACAACGATGATAACAGCAGTGGATGCGAAGACTGAGTGTGGCAGTAATACAGTTTTTAGTTTTTTCATTTATTTTGTTACTCAGAGTTAATATTTAGTTTGTAGTGTTTGTAGTAAGGAGAATTGTTCGTTTTTTTCTTCTAAAAACCTCACATGTTCATGTATTTTTTGTGTTTTTTTCATATTCGTCGAAAAAAAAAACATGAGGAATTCTGGACAAAGTATCTTACATTTTTTTACATGTAGTAAACAGGTCAATGAAGTACTTTGGTCAAAAATGGGAATGTCGGAGAGTTTTTTTCATTTTCCCTAACATGTTAATTTTGGACTAATGATGTTTTTCCGAGAAACGCGTCAATTGACTACAAAGTGTAGTTGGTCAAAAAAAGTTTTTTGACCTACCAAACAACCGACCAAATCTATGGCACGCCGTTTTAGCATATAGGAACGAAAACTGATATCGCCACTTCAAATGAGTGGCAATAACGTTAAAATAACTAAATCTACCACGATACAGTTGAAATATTTCCATATTATATTAGCATAGTTGTAATCAAGTGATTTGCACCAGCAGAATATACTTCATAGTTTTATAACTTTTTGGTGTATTCGTCTGGTATCTGAAACGTTATGATCACTTTTGTCACCACGTTAAAGTTGTCTAAACTTTATAGTGGATTATGAATGGTAACGGCAACCAAATCACTTTGAAGTGGTAGTAGTAAAGTGATTATATCAGTTTTGGCACCGTTTTCGGAACTTTTTCCAAACATTGAAAGTGGCAAAACTTGATTATATAATTGCGGTGGTGATTGCCACGTTCTTGCCACATGCTTAAGTGACTTCCACGTTTCATATACGATTACCACTTTAAAGTTCCCTTCTTCAAAAGCAGACATGTTTACAAATAATCGCCATTGATGTAAATAAATGTGTAGTTTTAAACAAATAATTCTTGTTAGTACCGCAGCAAAAATTTAACACGTTAATACATAATTATTTGTTTCAGGTGACCAAAAATAATAAAAAAATTGTTTGAGGCCTCTAGATAAATAATTTTCATATCCGCTAAGATTATAGATTTTTATATTATTTTTTATTACAACATATTTCAACAGACCGTGCATATATTTCGAGCTATGAGACCCCTGTTTGACAGTAAAATTTAATTCATGTTAATTTTTAGTCTTTGGATTATTTTAATTCCAGTTATTATTTGTAAGTTGTATTCTTACAATATATATTATAATTTTAGTATTTAGTGTTAAGGCCGTATTACAGCCGGCAATTCTTTCGGCAATTGCAATGAAAATTGCCGTAGGCATGCACGGTAGATACATTTCGACGAATATCTTGCAATTGCCGAAAATCGGTCTGGATGGATTTTTATTGCCGTTTTACGGCAATTCTGGGGTGAAATCTGGTAACTTTTATGTTACCAACCCTACTACAAATTCCCTAGAGAGACGCTGTTTGACTTAAACAGTTTAAGGTTATTTTTTTATGATTGGCATTGTGTTCAAAGTTCTAGTATCCATTTCACTCATTAATTTTTTAATATCTCTACTAAATAACAAATAAACTTGGTGTTTAAAAAATCGTATATTTTTCTTCGGTTGGTAGCACGCTAATAAACAGCAAGTTGTCTTGCCATTGCTGACTGTAAAACAACATGCAATACGGCCTTGAAAACTTGATGGCAAGAAAAATTGCTGCAAGAAGAATTGCCGGCTGTAATACGGCCTTTAGACTTCAATCCGACATCGCAGCGATGCCATAATCGTAACGCTGGCCGATGTCGTTCCGACCCCGGTCACAATATGTCGAAACGCGCTCGGCAATTTTTTGTCGATACGACCTCGACCAGCAAATGTCTAAACAAGCTCGGTCATTTTCTGTCGGAACGAGCTCGGACATTTTCTGTTGGGTCGACTTCAGCCATCTTATGTCGCAATGATCTTGGAATATGTTTATCGGAACGAAATCGCCTATGTACTATAGTGCTTCCTGTTAGGACCCATCGTATTTTTTTTTAACTTTGTGTTTCTATATATGGCAGAAAAACTACGTGAAATGTCCTGTAACCTAACTGTCCCCAGGGGCGATTTTTTAATTTAAATTATTATATTTTTCTTTTTTGCACACAGTGTCCCTGAACGAACTTTAGGTCACATAAAAATGACGCCAAAAACTGATTGCAGTTTCTTGTTCGGGACCCTTTGGTGACTTAAGTCCATGTCTGACGGTGCAACTTCTCGCGGCGACTAGGTCGCCGCGATTTTTTTGTGGTCACACGATGCAACTAATCAGCTGATCTAACCTGTCTCAAAATAGAACATGTTCTATTTTCATGCAATAAAATCGCCGCGACTTAGTAACTTTTTTAGGGATTTACGAATTTTCACTAAACTTTTTGGTTGGTACTCAATATTTATCAGCTGTGGAATGACAGATGTGATTTGCGTGTGCTTTAATCTGAGTGTTTTTATTTTTACACCACAAAATACTTATAATTTTAAAAGAAAAACAAAATCGATTTAAATAAACATTAAATTTGTTTAGGTATTTTTATTTTCCAACTAAGTAATTTTCGGTTACGTTGGCAATCCTAGTAGAAAATAACGTCAGTTTGGTTGCACCGTGTGAACACCCTAGAGGCGAGAAAGTCGCTGCAACTAGTCGCCGCAACAAAGTCGCCGCGAGAAATTGCACCGTCAGACATGGACTTTAAAAATGATATTTACCAAAATCCTAGCTGATCCTCTTTTCGAAATTTTTTGAAAATTCATGATTTTTTTTTTTTTAATTTTTGTCTACCTTTGACAGAGTACACATTTGTACACCGACTTTAATAATATTGGAGTATATTGTTAAGGAGATTTTGAGAATACTGTTTATACTGTGCAGATCATTTAATATATACAGGGTTAGCCAAAAATTGCTTCTTTTGAGCCATTCCACGCGTAACGGATACTACAGTTGCCGTGTTTTTATTTACAAAATAACAATGTCAAATTTTTATAAATAGTTCTAAACTAAAGCTGTTTAACAAGGTTTTTATTTGGCAAAATTAGGTATCGTGGTTGACTCTTTAATTCCTTAAAAACTAATAATTTAAAGCGTAACGGTCGGGACTTTGCAATAGTCCCGCCCGTTACGCTTTAAATTATTAATTTTTAAGGAATTAAACAGTCAATCACGATACCTAATTTTGCCAAATACAAACCTTGTTAAACAGCTTTAGTTTAGAACTATTTATGAAAATTTGACATTGGTAATATAATAGAACAATATTATTTTGTAAATAAAAACACGGCAACTGTAGTATCCGTTACGCGTGGAATGGCTCTTTTAATAAAGCAAAAGCGTAAATTCATGATTTTGGCATAACACGCAAAAAAGATATATATCCACCCATGTTTTTTTAGATATTTTTATGTTTATCAGGCTACAAAATGGGATTCTTATCAAGACTTTATAAGAAAAATTGATTTTGAATAAAATTAAATAAAATAATTTTTTTGGAGATAAATCTGTTTTGTGCATTATGCTTTTTACTATATAAAAACGTGATTTTTGGCTAATCCTGTATAAATCTAATGATGTGCTCAGTATGAAAACAGTATTCTCCAAGTCTCGTTAACAATATACTCCAATATTATAAAAATTGGTGTACAAATGTGTACTCTGTCAAAGGTAAGATAAACAAAAATTAAAAAAAAAAATAAGAATTTTCAAAAAAATTCGAAAAGAGGAGCAGCTAGGATTTTGTTAAATATCATTTTAAAGTTACCAAAGGGTCCCGAACAAGAAACTGCAATCAATAAAAATCGGTGTACAAATCTGTACTCTGGCAAAGGTAGACTTTGCGATAAACAAATAATTTAAAAAAAAATTATTTTTTTAACAAATTTAAAGAAAAGCAGTTAGAATTTTGGTAAATACCGTTTTTAAATCTCCAAAGAGTGCCGATCAAAAAACTTTAACCAGTTTTTCGTTCAAAATTGAAAACTTCTAAAAAGCCTAAATTAAACAACATTTTAAATATTCTCTAAGCGTTATTTTATTTAATTTTATTAAAAATCTATTTTTTTAATAAAAGGTTAATAAGAATGCCATTTTGTAACCTAATAAACATAGAAATATCTAAAAAAAATGGGGATACATCTGTTTTGCTTGTTATGCCAAAATCATGAATTTACGCTTTTGCTTTATTAAAATTAAGCGATTTTTGGTCCACCCTGTATATATCAAATGATGTGAACATTATTAAAAAGTATTCTTTAAGTCTCCTCAATAATATACTCTAATTTTATAAAAATCGGTGTACAAATGTGAACTCTATGAAAGGTAGACTTTGAATTAAACAAAAATTTAAAAAAAAATCATAAATTTTGAAAAAATTTCGAAAAAAGGATCAGCTAGGATTTTGGTAAATTTCATTTTTAATTCACCAAAGGGTCCCGAACAAGAAACTGCAATCAGTTTTTGGCGTCATTTTTATGTGACTTAAACTTCGTTCAGGGACACTGCATGCACCTTTGTTCTAAAAAAATAAATTATTTTTGAACAAAGGAAACTTCTTTTATTCGTATATAAAACTAAAATAGTTTTATACAAAGTAGTTTAAACAGAGAAAAATAATAAAGTTAACATTCAAAAATCTTGTCTTTTTCCTAACGTCGTCTTCTATGCCGATAGAGACACGTGTCTCTATCTCGTACGAGATAGAGATACTAGAGTTTTATTTCTAGATTGCATCCAGTTTGATACACTGAAAAAAATTTACGAAATTTTACACCTCCAAACACACATTTATTTCTGTTTTTTTACTTAAGAAATGTGTTGTTCCATATAAAACATGTACACACATACTTACATAAGTAAAATAGCATCAATTTATGTATTTTTTTAAATTAATATGTAGTTTTTCATATTATTATGTAATAAATCCTTAAATTTATGTGCTTTTACAATTTTTAATGTACTTGTACTATTATTTTCCTAAATTTTAGATTTACATGACCTTTGCATTTTTACACATTATATGTAGTTTTACAGTATGTTTGTACATATACATTTAAATACGTGGCATCAAAATAACCAACGATCAGATGTGTAAATTTACTAAATATTTTTTTGAGTGTAGTTCGGCAACAACAAGTGAGCACGTGTAAAGTGTGTGAATTTTTTTGTAAATATTTTAAAGGTAAGATATTTTTTCGTACACTTTTTGGTGTCTTTACAAAACGCTACATACAACTCTTGTTTTAGAAGTTACCTTTTTTATTTTCATTTTGTATTATAGCATAGTAGAAATACCAAACAAATGCCGAAAGATATTTACATTTAACAGTATTTCTGAAAAATAACGTTTGAAAAAGTCAAAAGCAATGTGTCATAAAACCTTTAGGAAGATGGGTTAGGAGGAGGACAATGTTTAATTTCTTTCTTGTGGTCCTTCCCTATTTTAGATTAAGTTTTATTTCTTTAAAGTTTATTTTTGTTATTTATAAACTTTTAGAATTTTTTTGCAGTATATTACACTGTAGGAAAAAAAATCGATCAAATTGACCTGCCTGGACAAAAAATATATAGAAAATGTACATTTAACGAAAATTCGCCCATATGTCCAAAAATTTAGTCAATAACACACTAAAAAGTTTTGTGCATACGATCATAGTTGTTGTCCCTTTTTTCCCAGCTAATGCTTACAAGGGGCCGTTACGTTTTGCGACTTCGTGTGACGTAATATGTCAAAATGACAGTGTCAAAACCCCCCGCCCACCCAACTTATCCCTTATCTATGGTCAACGGGCCCTAACTCGAAAATTACTTTAAGTTTTTGCGCCCTTTTCATGCACCCTGTTGCAAAAATAATTAGTATGAAATAAAATGACACTTACGTCGGCAATATCTCCTTGCGAAGCTTTGAAAGGTAACCCTCTCATATGAACGCAATGCATTGCACTGGATCCGCGATCGCCCCACGTGTCCACGTCATATGGACTTCGTCCTCCACTACCTCCTCCTCCTCTCATGTCGTTTCCGTTTCCCATCCATGGACCTTGTCTGTCATAGTTGTTGTAATCTAAATACAAATATCCATTTAGATCAACAATTGGGTTGGGACATGCAGTTTTTTTATTGCATATCTCCGCGTACGAGTTTGTAATTAATTTTTTTTTCCTACGTTCTTCAAACAATTTTTAAAAACGGTGCAGCGTTTAGAAAAACGCAAGATTTAAAACGCTTCGATAACGCCACGATGATATTGCTGTAATAGTTGTGTCAAGACTTACGAATGAAGTATATGCAAAAAATACGAACGTAACCAATTTGTTAACAGCCTTATTAGACCTCATCAGTGCCGGATAGCAGTGGTATGTAAGCACAATTTTTAATTGTTACACAACCATTAACAGCGCATTTTAGTATGAAGTTCTTAAAATGGTTTTTAATTTAAAATTCGCGCATCTAACATCAAGATAAATAACACTGTAGGTCAATTTTCAACTCTTGAAATATCACAGCTAAACGCTCGCACACGTAAACATAATTTTTGGTCGTAGATTCCAAATCCGTACTCGGTTTAGCTGTATCAGGTCTGAAAAAGTATATTACACTACAACGGCCGAAAGTCAATATCCTCAATTAGGCCCAATAAAAAAAAATCAGCAAAAAAACATTTTGAATTTCCTATATTATCTAAGAAAAACTCTTAGGAATATGGGTTCCTTTTGTCCAATTAACTTCACATTTTGCAAGAATTAATGTGAGCCCAGCCAAATTATTTTTTTGAATTTATACGGGGTGTTTCCAATATCTTTAAATTTTTACCTGATACAGCTAAACCAATCACGGATTTGTTATCTACAACCAAAAATTAAGTTTACGTGTCCGAGCGTTTAGCTGTGATATTTTCACTTCCCTACAGTGTAATTAAAATTATAATTGATGCCATCATTTATTTTATGATAAAGCAACATTAAATATTGATTCATTATTTATTTTTTACAATGTTTAGTAATTATCTAACCATGTTGTAATCAAAGATTAATTGCAAAAATAATAGAAATTAAGTATTTTTTTTACCACCACTCTTTTAATTTCAATTTTATTGTAAAAATCTGTTTTATAGTTCGTCTCGTTCGGCACCTCGAGGTAAAAGGTTGAGTCAACGCTCTTCTAACGCGTCCGTACCACAACTGTGAAAGTGATACAATCTAAAGTCCAAAACAGCAAATCCACTAATAACACTGTAGGGAGGTGAAAATATCACAGCTAAACGCTCGGACACGTAAACTTAATTTTTGGTCGTAGATTACAAATCCATGCTTGGTTTAGCTGTATCAGATCAAAATTCAAAGATATTGGAAACACCCTGTATAAATTTAAACACCCTGTATACATTTAAAAAAATCAATTTGGCTGGACCCACACATCAGTTTCAAATTAAAAAAAAACCAAATTCTTGCAAAATTTGAAGTTAATTGATCAAAAGGAACATGTGTCCCTGGGGGTTTTTCATAGATAATTTAGGAAATTCAAAATGTTTTTTATTAATTCTTTTTTATTGAGTATAATTGACGATATTATATTTATTAAAATAAAAATGTTGACACAAGAGGTGAAAAATATTATTTTATAAATTATAATATACAGTTTGTCCCCGGATCTGATTTCCGACAGGAAAACTTTTTTAGACCTGATTCAGCTAAACCGAGCACAGATTTGGAATCTACGACCAAAAATTATGTTTACGTGTCCGAGCGTTTAGCTGTGATTTATCAAAAGTTGAAAATTTACCTACAGTGTAATTTTCCGGATACAAGTGCAAAAAAAATACAATAAAAATAAAATAAATAAATAAAAATAAAATAAGAGTGAAAAGTGCGCGTGGCCCCGATATAAGTGCGCTAGCGACGTAAAAGGGTGCGAGTGAGGATAGGTCACAACGATAATCTTACCTGGATTACCAACAAAATCAACGCGTGCCAATAGCGAGCGGTCGAGGTCAAGGAACAACGTCGCGATAAGGACAAATCAACGAATTTCAAGTCTGCTTAATTCAGATAAGTAATTTATCCAAACTTTAAATTCTAAATCCAAACGCAAACTTCGCAATCGCAAATTACCAAGAATTCCATCTGGTAATCAGGTAAACAAACATTCGTCATCAGTTCCCAATAAGAAAACAACTAACAAGCCAACGAACTCATAAACAACTAGGGTTGGGACAGTTGAAATTTTCAAATGAAAATTTCAATTTTGAAAGTTTCAAACTTGAAATATTTCATTTAGTTGAAAAAGTGAAATTTTTAAAAATTTCAAATGAAATTTTCAATCCGAAAATTTCAACATTGCCTGTGAAACTTCACTTCATTGAAAGTTTCGCAATTTACTAAAAATTTCGCATAAATTTCACATGCGGCCTCCCCTGGGACCTTTAATAATAATTTACAATAGATTTCGAATCGACCAATAAGAACGAGTTATCAAGCGTCTGGGCGATTTTGTTTAGTTCGGCTTGGATTTGAATACACTATAAGTAATTATTGTTACTTATATGCATAAATTAATTTAAATAATTTAATTCAGTTACCAATTTAATTTCTAAATTAATCAGACTTTAAAAATTTTTTTAAAGTCATGATTAATTTAAACTTTTACTTTTGCTATAATTGCATCGGAAAACGGATGAAAAATGCCTTTGGCTCATAAAATTTTGATAAAGTTTCTTCAATTTTCGTAAAATTTCAGTGAAATATATAAAAATAATAAATATATATAAATATAAAACAATGAAAGTGGCACAATTTCGTTAGCTTACCAAAAAGTGCTATATCTCTCTTAGTTTTAGTAATTTTAAAAGGAAATCTTAAGAAATTTGTGGTAAACATAGGTATTTACTATTTATATTATTGGTGCATGGGCCCATAGAGGGGTAGGAGGTAAGAGAGGCATAAGTGATTGAAAGTTTTAATAAATTTCATAAATTTCATGAAATTTCAGAAATTTAGGAAATTTTAATAAATTTCATAAATGTCATGAAAATTTCAAGTGAAATTTCAAGTACAAACAAAAAGTGAAATTTTCCCAACCCTATAAACAACAGACAAAAAAGGGCAGACAAAAAGCATTAACATCATTACCCAAACACTTGACAAAACCATAAATAAATGCCAACTCGCCCTCAAAAATCTCAATAAAGCCAAACCAAACCAAACATAGAAATCGTTAACACTAGACCACTCAGCAGGTATAATTAAAGTACCACCCGAAGATACTGATTAAAATATATAAAATAATGTAATAGCAAAATTAAGTATATGCAATAAATAATTAATAAATGCATCACAATTATTTTTTTACACCAATATAAAATGCGATTAATAAATAAATTAACATTATAGACAACGAAAGTGTTTAAAAAAACATGACGGAAATTGCATGGTGGCCTCTTAAGCCCACCAACTAGACAATAGGCCAACTGAACAATCACATCCGAACAAACATAGAGACATTCATATCATACGTCCAGGATGCAATATTACAGACATGGAACGTAAAACAGAGGCGTATTTAAATGACCACTCACAAAATGAGTTATGGATGGGACTGGAAACAAAACAACAGCATCGGATGTATTTAGCGTCGTTATCGAAATAAATCACGAACAGGGGGCACAGACTCATACGAACAGAAAGTACACCAACAAGGATAGGTACTAGCAGCGTACTAACCCACCTACCCCCATTTATAAACCCCAATTGTATGGGGTTATTACTAAAGCCCTGGTTGAGGAGGATTCCGGATTGTACCTAATTTTGGGTCAGTTCAATGTCCGCCAAAAACCAACATGTTTTCCCTCCTTACCCCGCATTCCACTAGCCTAAATTGGGCGTATGGCCCGTCCCGGCGACAAAATTCTGGGAATGGCATTAACCATCGACATTGTCATCTACGACCTCATAGGGGAGATCTACCAGCCTGCGTAAAAATTCGGATCCAACAAACACAGGTAATGCTGTGCAGTGGGGGGGATACGTTGGAGAACGGAAAGGGGGTAAAATAACCCTGGGAGATCAGTGTAAAAATGTGTTTTATAGTTATAAATAGCGTTTTTTAGGCCATTATATTCATACAAACATTTTGTATTTCAAAAATGCATTCTTGTTAGAAGATATTGACCATTTTACAAATTTACAAGAATAAAGAAATTACAGTAAAAATTCTCAGGCTAAAAAGCTAAACACTTACCAGAAAAGTTGGATCCCTTGAAGCTGCGTGATCCTCTCGACTGAAAGCCCCGTCCGCCGCCGCCCCCGCCGCCGTAACGGTCGCCGCGATCGTACGGACTAGGGCGAGAGTTAAACGAACCGCCGCTCGAGCGTCTGTTGCCGCCGAAACCGCCTCCGCTGCCCACCCCGTTTATCTCGCTGAGACTGCTTCGGAATATCTCGATATATCTACGAATGCAAGTTCAATTAATATTTTGATGTGCTCAATTTAAGTTAAAATAAAAAAATTTCACTATTTACGAAACATTTTAAGATATAAGATTAAAAATAAAACTTAAAATGTTATTTTTCTAAAGTTGTGAGTTCTAGTCCAGAGAAACAAGATAATATATTTTTTTTTTAAATAAAAAATTGATTAGCTGAAAAAAACTGTTTTTTTATTAGAAAAATCGGAAAAAATCGGAAATTAAGGGAACATTTAATCTTTTCTTATAAACTAGAAACAAGTGTTTTAATTTCAAGGCTTGTTTTTTAGTATTACATTTTGGTATTTACAAATTATTTTTATAAAAAAAAATACTTTTTACGACACTGTTAAATTCGCGCGGCAATGTAATTAACCAGCAAAAATTCTCCGCATTTCGGCAAATCCCAGAAAAAATCAATTTAGGTATTGTTTTTTTAACTAACTGAATGATACTTAACAATCATATAATTTTAATATTATAACCATGCAGCCTACACAAGGAGCCCGAACTTAGTAGTGGAAATTGACAAAACCTCTAAATTGCACAAATTAAATCTATTTTTCACCACCAGCGGCGCTGGTTGTCGATGCGTACTGACGTCTGCTCTTTTGGTAGCTTTTCGGTACAAATTAGTCAATTGTTTCAGAACAAACGGAACACCAGCGCCCTCTTATCTTAGGAAGATTCTTGTTTACATGAAGTTCAAAGTCCTTGTGTGGGCTTCATTATTATAAGACTCCTAAGTCAACTATTTGAAGAGCTACAATGTCAGTTAAATTAGTGAAAATTGCGTAATTACAAACCATTTATTAAAAGGCTTTAAAGATGAAATTTATAAATTGAAAAAAAGCCAGCTCCATCTTTTGTTTTTATAATGGCCGCCATAACTTATGTAGTTTGATACATCATTGGATTTCTTGATTTATTTTTATCTGGTCATGTAAAATTTCAATATGGCGGCCATAGGAAAAACAGAAATCTAGTAGGCGAAAAAAGTCACAAATTGGATGAAAATGTAGATAAATCTGTATGTTTACATGTAAAACATATTTTTTTTCAAAATTTCCAAGAATATAGAAGTTGTTTTTTTTTTCAATTTTTTTGCTGTCTTTTTGTATAATCTTTAAATACCACTTTAATAGACTTGTAATTCTTCAAATAAAAAAGGATACTTGATGTATATAGACTTCATATTAATACTAGTTCAAAAGTTAACTTAAGAAGCTAAAATGTAATCATGTCAGTTAAATCTAACCTAAAAATGATGTTTCAAAATCTTAAAGAAATATTTTAATTAAATGCTTCAAAAAAATTGTATATAAAACCCGGCGACGAAAGCTTAATTGCCTCGCACACAATCTTCTGAAATACACATTTAATTTTCAATTAGATAAATATCTAATATTACATTATAATATAATGACTATTTTAATATATTTTCAGGGTTCTTATTTTTTAAATAAAAAAAAAATGTTTTCCAAAACGTTGGAGAGATTTACTCAGAAGTTGTATACATTAACAATTTTCATAAGTTGCCCATGTTAGTAAAATTTGACTGTAGTCGTGCAATTATAAATAAGGCTGGGAATTGATTACAAATAATTTAAACAGACGAGGAAATTCATTAAAAATATTTCCCATATTAGCAAAAAACAGACATAATTCTAAAAAGTTTTTATAAAATTCCTAGATTGGCTCAAAAATCTTTAAAAGATAGTCTAGTGAAATTTCACTAGACCATGCAACATTTTGCTTGTGAAGAAAAATAAAATAAGTGTTATTATTCTAATGATACCTATCAAGTTTTAAATTCGATTATTTAAATTTAAACAATTAAGTGTACATTACATAACAATTTTACATAATTTTTAGTATAATTCTAAATTCAAATACTCGAATATTATGATCATTTGAGTATTTGTGTAGTCAAATATGTATTTAAATATTTCGACTTAATATTTAAAAAAGTATTCAAAAAAAATCCCAACCCTAATTACCAAAACACCACATATTTTTCTGCATATTTCTTTTTGAAAAATGTACATCAAATGTTGCATAGACTCTTAAAAAATTTAAAGTGTAAACTATTCTTCTTAAATAGAATAACTTTAAACAATTAATTTAATTTCTAAAGTTAAGCATAACATAATTTTAATTATTACATATTAAAGGAGTATTGTTTCCTAAATAATTCGTCGTCTGAATATAAATTATAATAGAAAATGTATAATAACAATCCAAGCAATCCAATTAAATTTTTTTTTATTAGATATGTATTAATTTTTAAATTCCACAATATTATTTATTATAAAAATTTAAGCATGCAAAACATTGTAGAAAAATAAAGCTAAATAGTTGCCTGAACATTTTTTATAGAAGAGTTAAGTAATTTAAAACTTCAAACAACCACTTGAAGTCACATTGCGAATAATAATTTTAAAAGATAAGCTAATAGATCTAAATTATCAGGAACAATGTTTACTTACCAAAATCGCATATATGTTTAAATATACTTCAAAGTCAGTTTTAAATATTAACCCTTTTTTCAAATGGCTGTATTGATCGCCATTAAGAATGTTTTTTTATCTAACAAGCTTGTGTATTTTAAACAACAAAATATTGTTTTTGGGATTATTTGATTTTTTACTAAATAGGACTTATATGCCATATTATATTTTTTGTATTAAAAAATATACCCATATAGTTTTTGTAACATTCAAAGTGTAGAAACTGTTTAATTAAGTTCAAAGTAAATATTAGAATGTGGGTCAGAATTCGTAAAATCATCACAATAAAATTGACTTTCATTGTTCTTTGTCGAAATGTTGAAAAAATTAATCGACCATAAACATTTCTTAATCCATTGTTATTAATTAAATTTAAAATTATACTAAAAATTATGTAAAATTGTTATGCCAATGTTTAATTATTAATAAATGTTTATTATTACTTGTTTTACTTAATTTGGGTATAATTTAACACAATAAATAATTTTTTACTTAAAAAAATATCTTCCCAACATTTTTGCATTTGCATTCAATGATTTATTATTTTTTGTTCAACAAGTGAACAGTATAGACTCGAGACCATTCTTATTTTTTTAAAGTAACAAAAAACATTTTTTAGTTTTTAACCTTTGAATCAAGTAAATATCACCATTAAACAATGGTTTTGATAGATATTTTAGTTAAAAGACACTAAACAATTAAGTTAAGAACTAAATAATGCTTTTTCTGTAATTTTAGAAAAAAAATATCATCATGCAGTCGCGATTCACTTGTTTAGCATGATAAATGATTTTAAAAAAGCAGCATTATTTTAATCATAATTACGAAGGTAATTGCCGCTCGGATTTTTTATAGACATGTTTAGATTCTTTAGATTTTTTCGTAAAGTGACATTTTTTTCGCATTTATAAAAGGTCCAGAACACGCAAATCCATTGTTTATACATTTTTTTAGAGATGGGAATCGGAAAGTTTCCATTTTAAGGAAACTTTCCGTTTTGGAAAGTTTCCAATTGGGAATTTATTTTCATTTTGAAAGTTTCTTTTAAGCTACCGGAAACATTCCTTGGAAACTTTCCTTGTTTTTTTCATTTAAATGTCAATTGTTTAACCGCTGATTTTCGTTAAGGCCATGATACAAGGCCAAGAAACTTTGAATAAGAATTTAATGTGTGTTATTTAAGGCAGAAGAAGAAGTATAAATAATGTAAGTTATGTTACATAACCTCAATGAAGCCGAGTTATTCAGCTTCATCACAAAAAACCCTGGCATAAAAAAAATATTTTCGCAATAAAAAAAATTTTTTTGAAACTTTCGGGAATTTTCGATGGAAAGTTTCCGGGAATTTTCGTCAAATGGGAATTTTCCCATCTCTACCTTTTTTTATAAATTATAATAAAAAAATTAAATTTTTAAAAATGTTTGAACAATTTTCCATAGTGCATAGTGCTTCCCTTATATATCGGCCATTCCAAGCCCATGGACAGGACACATCAGAAACATGTCTAAATATATTCTTATTACTTCCTTAAGTTAACTTATTTTTTCTACCAGTATTTATGAGAAGTATTAGCCAAATTTGGGTAATACTTCTCATAAATACTCGTAGAAAAAATAAGTAAACTTAAGGAAGTAACAAGAATATATTTAGACATGTTTCTGATGTGTCCTGTCCATGGGCTTGGAATGGCCGATATGCCAAAGTTTCATCAAAATCGATATATAGGTTCAAGACTTACTAGATTTTGTTTAAAAATTTACCAAAAATTTGACAATAATATTGCTAAAAAAATAAAATAAAAAAAATAATGTTTGGTTGACTAATTTTTATGGTCAAGTAGAATACTTTTTACAACATTTCGACAGCCATTTTTATAGTGCTGATTTCACGAATTTTGACCCATGTGGTAAAAGTATAAAAAAATCATTTTTCGAATATAAAAACAACTACCTACTTTTTATAGTCAACTTTAGATTTTCCCTACCAAATTATGACACATACTTTTTATGGTTTGATAAACAAGGATAAACATTCATCTAAAAATTATGTTTTTCTTAAAAAATATTCTGGGTGGACAGAAATGTTTGAATTACAAAATACAATAATTTAAACCATAAAAAGTATACCCTAATTATACATATATTATATTTATTTCCTTTTGATTAAAATGTTTTTGTGCCTATAACCACTTGTAATACCTTACGGGTGACGTTCATAATATCGAAATTCACTTTATCGAATTCAAAATATCGAACACTTTTTATCGAAAATCAAAATATCGAAAATACAAAATGTCGAAAATCAAAATATCGAAAATTAAAATGTCGAAAATGATAATATCGAAATTTTATTTAATCGAATTTTCAATTTATCGAAAATAAAATATCGACGTTCATAATATCGAAATTCACTTTATCGAATTCAAAATATCGAACACTTTTTATCGAAAATCAAAATATCGAAAATACAAAATGTCGAAAATTAAAATGTCGAAAATACAAAATGTCGAAATTTTATTTAATCGAATTTTCAATTTATCGAAAATAAAATATCGACTGCTTAAAATATCGATTATAATAATATGGAGGCGCCTCTGATATAGAAATGTACTCAAACTCAACAACACAACCCAACCGACCCCGCCCCATTGGACCCCCCCCCCGCCCCATTGGCCCCCCCCTGCCCCATTGAGCAAAAAACCCAACTAAAATGGGCTAATTTATGTAATTAAAAAGTGTTTTATTTTTATCGTAACATGAATTTGCCCATTTTAGTTGGGTTTTTTGCTCAATGGGGCGGGGGGGGCCAATGGGGCGGGGTCGGTTGGGTTGTGTTGTTGAGTTTGAGTACATTTCTATAAAACGCGCATCTCTAGGAGCCAGGGAGCCAAGATAATTCGGTGCATAACCGTAACTTTATCTACAGAGGCGCCTCTGTACATATACACTTCGATTTTAAGCATACATTTTAATTTTCGATATTTTTAAATCGATATTTTAATTTTCGAAATTTTAATTATTCGACATTTTCAAATCGACATTTTAATTTTTGATATTATCATTTTCGACATTTTAATTTTCGAAATTTTAATTATTCGACATTTTCAAATCGACATTTTAATTTTCGATATTATCATTTTCGACATTTTAATTTTCGATATTTTGATTTTCGACATTTTGTATTTTCGATATTTTGATTTTCGATAAAAAGTGTTCGATATTTTGAATTCGATATAATGAATTTCGATATTGTGAACGTCACCCATACCTTACACCCTTAACAGTAAATTAAAAATAAAAAAATGTTTATATTTACATGTAATCAGTAAATAAAATAAAAGAGGAAAAAGAAGGAGGTGAAAACCTATCATCCAATCCCTCCCACAATACCCCACCTGTGTCCAATTTTTTCCCGGTGTTTCTGCAGAGCTTTCTCTGCCACTTCTCTGTTTACAAACTGAACATAAGCCTCCCCAGAACTTCGCCCCGAGTAGTCTGTCAGAAGAGTTATTCCGTTGGGTACTATCTCCAACCCTACCAACCCAATAATAACCCTTTAACTCAAAATTCTTTAAAATCATGTATACTTTTAATAAATTAAATTAAACCCTGTCTAAGTTTTGACAATTAATGGAAGAATTTATAATAAATACATGTGGGTAAAAATTTGTTAAATCACCAATGAAAAATTAATGTTTTTTATCAGAAAATGAAAAATTCTCTCATTTAATAAAATATTATATTTTTTTACCAATATTATGGAAAAATTAAATCTTTAAAAAACTGCTCTCAGACTTAAGTAATTTAAGAAAAATTTGTTAAAGAAAATGGCATGGTATACCAAATTGAATAAAAATGTAATAATCTCGGTAATAATTAAACAATAATTCGGTAAAAAACTATACTTTTGATAAAAAATGTGGATATTAATTTTATATTGGAGATTTCATAAATAGTGACCCATGTTTAATAAATTGTTATTTTCTGGCTTATAAATTCTTGCATTATAAAAATCTTTTAACATACAGCAGTATCAAATAATTACTGAATGTTAGTTCAAAACAGACACATTTTAATTATATTATTCTGCTGTAGGTGCATATAATTAGTAAGCATACAAAAAATGTCTTCAAAAAACTATTACCAAATGTAAATAAATAATTCATACCAGTAAAAAATTGTGCAATTTCTTCTTTTGAGCATCCAAAAGGTAGGCCTCTTAATCGAACACATCCATCATCATTTGTACCATTGCTTGGACCATTTCTTTTCACAACCCAATCCATTTCAGCTTTTTTTACTTTAAATACTAAAATTAAAATATTATATTAAAAAATTGATAACAATTTTATATTAATATTATAAAAATAAATGACTAGATCTCGACTTTGACTAGAAAACACACTTAAAGTTTGGTAATTACCTTCAATATATCTGTTTCCTATATGTTCTCGGTCTTTTTCCAAGGCAAAATTTAAATCTTCCTCATCTTCAAATTCCACAAAGGCTTCACCACTTGGACGGCCTTCTCTGGAAGAAGTCATGTGTACTCCATCCTTACCACCAACCACCTTGGACTCTTTAAAAAATCCAACTATTTCTTCTTGTGTTGCAGACCATGGAAGTCCCCTCAATTTGACAATAAACCCTTCATCTTGGTCTCCCGAATCAGACATTGTACTCGATAATAAGAACTGTTACAATTACAAAGTATAATTAATTAATTAACTGTGAATTGAAAGTTTTGTTAATATTTTGTTTGCGTTTAGGGAAAAAGCTTTATCTTTTGCGGAAAGCACAAAATGGCCGTTTGACAGATAGGATGCCAACCTAAAATTACCCTGTTGACAAATGTACATCCGGTTTATCGAAAATTCAAAAGGAAAATATATATGCAACGTTATCGACTATTTTCTTTAATTAAGAAACTTAATTTTACTTTACACATAAAAAAATTCTTTACATTCCTATCAAACAACTAAAAAATTAATTTAATTACTTGGGTACTGGTGCAGTTGCCATATTTCTATAAATGTTAGTTATTTTAGTGTTGTTTAGTTGCACAGATAAACACTGTGTTTAATAAACACTTTTTAGTTGGTTTTGTGTTATACAGTTGGTTACTGCAATGTGTCAGATTTGAATTTGAGGTGTTAAAATGGCGCAATTAAGTGATAAAATACGTGAATATGGATTAAATAGGGATGTAAAGCAATTGGAGAAACTTGTAAATGATACAGATGTTACAGACGTATGTTTTATTTATTTCTGCAAATATCACACCTAAAATCTAACCTAATTTTAGCTTTTGAATTTAGTTAAGAACAAAGTAAAAACTTTTAATTTTAATTACACATGGAATTATCTACTACAAGGATTAGCAGGAGCTAATGAAGAAAAAAGATTTAAACTGGCTTTATGTCTTTTGAATGAAATCGAACAAAATGATATTCCCTCCAATTTGTCAAATACACTTATTAATCGGTTGTGTATGGATATAAACAAGTTTAAATCAGAACATTTAGCGGAACTTTGTAATTTTTGTAAAAACTCCATACAATCAAAAAACACATTGCATATGAGTTGGAAGGACCTACTTCCTGAAGTACTTAATGTTTTGATTGAAAGAGAACATATCGAACACAATGATATTGAGTATACTGGACCTGAATTTAAAACAACTTTTATTGATACACTCTGTATGACTGATTGGTCACCAAATATTATTACTTCACTAACATCAATGTTTATGTAAATACTTTTTTTTTATTACAGGGTTTAAGAAACATAACTTTAAGACACTAAAACACTGTTAAAAATACATTAAGGCATATCTTATTTTAACTACAATATTAAGTTTTAAAGATTAACATAAAAAAGAGATACGCCTTTAAGTAAGTTCAACTGTGAATCCTATTGGATAAATAAACAAAAATACCTTTCTAATAACATATTACCACCTGTTAGAGAGGTATTAAAACTATTACCTAAAACAGTATAACAACAGTTATTTATTTTGTAGAGAAATGCCATTAACCAAGGATGAACATCTAAAAGTTGTTAATAAGTTAGGAATGTATATTGAAAAATTGACTCCCCTAGAAGTTCCAGCATTTATTCATCAAATATTGAAATTATGTAAAAATAACAGTATTCGTTCAATTTTTCTAAAGTTACAAAATTATTTTGGAGTCAGAATTTATGAACAGAACATAGATAGTGATAATAACTCTGATAGTACTGTTTTGGATGAAATTGGTAATTTTTTTAAAATCATTAAATTTTAATTTCAATATTTAATTCTAGAGAGTTCTTCAAGTCAAGATACTATAGAAGCAGAAAGCACAGTTTTATATCACATACATACATCTGCATCACTAGGGCATGAATGCATCCAAGATTACATTTCATCTTTGAAAAACCTTCTTAAATCACCTGAATATATTTTACACCCATTCCAGTTGACATTGCTTTTTACTATAGCGACAATTTCACATTATGAAGACACTATTTTTGAGTTAATAAGACCTGCAATTGTTAGATGCTACCAGGAGGAGATTAAGAAAAATAATTCCAGTTGGTATAAAGAGATGATCCCCACCAATTTTAAGGTTGAGGATGTGTTTGGAAAAGTTATACATTTTAGGTAAACAAGTTTGCAGTTTTTTTATTTTTGTTAAATTATTTTTTTTTTAGTTTGACCAATAGAGACCTGACTTTGCAAGCAATGGTAAATTTTGCCTTTGTTTTACTTAGAATTGGATCAGGTCTAGGAAGAGATGCAATGGCTGAGAGGCAGTGGATTATAGGAAATATGATTTTGTTAAAAATTATTAAGAGAAAAAGGAATATTGCTCCAAATATAATACAAATGTTAAGCAATAATATTGTGACTGGCCATAATGTAACACAATACATAGGTAAATTGTAGACTTAAGTAAAAGTAAAACATTCATATGTTAATTTTAATTTTCATTATTATTAGTAAATAATGCATGGTTAAAACCTGTTATTTTTATTAAAAACAGCATACATAAAAAATATAAACCAAAAGGAAGGTGTTAAGATTAAAAAATACAGACAAAACATCCCCCTGGATAGAAACTTGGGTTTGTTCTTATCAAGCATTTCGACATAGATGCCAGAGACATGCGCAACACGCGATTTTAATAATATTTAATATAATATTGTTATTAACCAGTGGCGTAGCTAGCCTCGAGGGGGCCCCGTATCAAAAATCTGGTAGGGCTCCTTATACGGGAAAAGCTGCTGGCAAAAAAATTTCTGGGTGTCATGCCCAAAGTCTATTTTGGGCAAACAAAAAAAATGTTTTTGCATTTACCAATTTTTTATAATTTAATAAATAATATATGTATACATAGCTTTTTATGTACAGGCAAATTTTAAAATTTGGTCTGGTTTTAGACATTTACCGTTCTTCAACATCTTTTAAAAGGTTTCTATTTTAAAATAAAGGCAAGTTATTTGAATTAATTGTAACGCTAATAATTATTTCTAATTTGCTATTAATATAACCTAGACACAGAACAATATGCGCATACTGCGCCGCAGACAACGCATAGCGGAAAGGTGCGGGCAGAAACAATTCGTTTGAGTTCACGGACTCGTAGGAACAGGAGGGTGTTGAGAAAAATTTTAATTTAATAAATCGAAGTATAAACAATTAAATAATAATAATATTTATTTATTTAATTTTATGCCTCAATTTTTTTAACATGTGGGTAATATATTTGTATTGTGTTTGTAACTAGAATCAAAAATAAATAAATAAATATGTTTTTTGCTTACGCATGTCGAAGCGTTATTAACATTAAATGGCGTTCATTTGAACGTCAAAATGCGCCGTAGGAATAAACATTTTTTTTCTGTTATAAGACAATACTAATATGTATACAGGGGAGGACAATCTACCAAAAAAATCAAGTGAACTTATTTGTAAATATATATTTTAAATTTAAATATTTTCTATTTAGTTTAAGGTTACATTGCCGCTCTGAGCGACGCGTAGCGGAGCGCGGCTATCTCGCGAGAGCGGTAATGTCACTTTGCGCTCGAATTACATACAGGATTTTTTCTACAACCGGTGTTTCTATAAGAATGTTTGGTAAAAATTAATAATTATTAGCTATTTTCGCGGAGCTAATCCCGAACTAATTCCGGACATCCTAGACATGCGCTTTTTAAAATTTGGGGTTCAAAATGTAAAGTGCGCATGACAAATATTAAAATGCGCATGCCTAGGATGTCCGAACTAGTTCGGGATTAGCACCGCAAAAACACCTATTAATAACCTCAAATTTGACGTTTGTGTCAAAAGTCGCAAATACACTAAACGTTTCTTTATTATGGTTTCCATGGTAACTAAGCGAGCGACAAAGTAAAAAAACGCTCGCTGCTCGGAAAAGTGCATCTTTGCGCTTTCTTTTCGAAGCGCAAATTTGTACTATTCGCTTGGTTGTAGAAAAAAAACTTTGTTTCAGCAATTGGGAGCTGTTTAAAACAATATTTAATAATTTATAAAGAAAAATTTTAAGTAATGTAATAGTCCAAAATATTTTTTTGCGATTTTGTTCCTTGATTACATGTATGTAGAATCTACATTGTAGATATATGACTAAGTATTAAGTCAAAGTAAAACAGAGCACTCCAAAACACTTCACACAAAGGACATATAAACATTTAATATACAATAATTGTTGTACTCAACCTGAAGGCACAAAATCGAAACAATTATTTTGGACTATTACTTTACTAAGTAAGGTTTACTTTAAAAATAAGGAGACCATAAAACACAACAGTTCTCCAAAATACTTCTCACAAAGGACATATAAACATTTAATATATTATTGTATACAGTGTGCCCGTAAAGTCCCGGAACATAAAATTATTTTAAAAACAGATTTAAAAAAAAAACGCTGAAACAAGTCAACTTTGTTATTTTTCTAGCAATATTTTGGCCTATGTAGTTGTTCCAAATTCTGCCGCGTAGTTTTTTTTAAATTGCAACCCTTTATTTTTGTTGAATTTTTGGATAGCTACCGTTGTCCTGATTACATTGATGTGCCACATCTAGAGGATTACATAAGAAAATTTTTGAGAAAAGCAGGTTTTTGCCGCCGAATGAAATTTTAGTATTTTATCAAACTTAATGTTTTTTGGGAAGCCAATCAGAGCAGTTGCTCAAAGTGTCCACCGTAAACTATTTGGCAGTGGGCCAGCCTGTCCACAAACGAGCGTTGTACGTTTGCCACTACCTGAAGTGATCATCTGGATCTCGGCTTGAATGCGGTGTCTTAGGTCGTCCAAATTTTAGGGCCTGTTTACATAGACGCGGTTTTTAAGCTGTCCCCATAAAAAAAAGCCTAAAGGTTTCAAATCGGGCGATCGCGCTGGCCACTAGATTTGACCCCTTCGACCTATCCAGCGATTGGGAAAGACCTGATTTAAATAATCCCTTACTAGCAATGCATAGTGTGGTGGTCCCCCGTAAGTGCTAATTCATAATGGACGTAACCATAAGATGTCCGTAAGAAATACGTAAAACGTAAAGTTGAATATTAACAAAACCAGTGTGCCTGTTTATAATGAGTAGCCGTAATTTTTACGTTTTACGTTCGAACATAAGATCTTATGGGTGACCGTAAAAAATACGTAAAGTTGAAATCATCTCAACTTTACGGGTTTCTTATGTGTGAATTTTAGTAATTTTCATGATTTCACTAGAACATTGTTGGTAGCAATCAGGGTAGTACCCATGCAAACAGATGACAGATGTTTTTTAAGTGTATCCACAGAACAAACAATCTAAAGTACCATTCCTCATCCTAAAGTTTTAGTTCGAGTATTATTCGGCGAAATTCGCCTTTTTTTCTCTGTCCCTACTCACTGGTTTTAAACTCCACCGACGAGGTTTCCGTTGCTTCTTTTCGGTTGTGGGCAAACTTCTTCTCTTTGCCAACGTATATATCGCTCATTACACTAAGGTTATGATAACACTGATAGTTTTAACTTAATTTATATATATGGGTCAGAATTTCTCAAACGGGCCACCTGAATTAGGTCAAAATTAGTTTTTGTTTGTAGATACATTTTTTTGATAGTATTTTACATCACTAACACAAATCCTAAAGGATTTTGTAAAAAAAAAATTTTCAATTGACATATTCATGATATTAAAAGTCAAAGTTTTTAATAATTAAAAAATAAAAAAAAATTCATTATGGCTGAACTAATTATCCGATTCCAACGATATAACTAGCGTTGGAATCTTGTTTTGACATAGATTCTTTGTTATTTTTTTCAATTGTCCTATTTTCATTTAGGTCGATTTTTTTTTGTTTTTTTTATACCAAATTCGGAAATAATTGCCTTCTGCGCCAGCTATCGACTCGAGAAAAAAAACACATATACTCCAATCATTTCTCGAAATTATGCTGCTGAGAAAAAAAATGGCCCGCAGGTTGACAAAAAGTTATTCGTCCTTTTGTGGCCGCGCGCGGTGTCAGCTCACGCTCCGAACCGTGTACGCTGTACACGCTTGTGACGCGACGTCTTACGGTGGTCTGGAACCTGCGGGCCATTTTTTTTCTCAGCAGCATAATTTCGAAAAATGATTGGAGTATATGTGTTTTTTTTTTCGAGTCGATAGCTGGCGCAGAAGCCAATTATTTCCGAATTTGTTATAAAAAAAACAAAAAAAAATCGACCTAAATGAAAATTGTACAATTGAAAAAAATAACAAAGAATCTATGTCAAAACAAGATTCCAACGCTAGTTAAATCGTTGGAATCGGATAATTAGTTTAGCCATAATGATTTTTTTTTATTTTTTAATTACTAAAAACTTTTACTTTTAATATCATGAATATGTCAATTGAAAAATTTTTTTTTACAAAATCCTTTAGGATTTGTGTTAGTGATGTAAAATACTATCGAAAAAATGTATCTACAATCAAAAACTAATTTTGACCTAATTCAGGTGGCCCGTTTGAGAAATTCTGACCCATATATAATTATAATTAGTATGTCTTAAACCTTTTAAGACATAATAATTATAATTATAGACGAAAGCTATCAATGCTGTCATTTTAGTAAACTTAGACATGCGCGCCTTATTAAACATACATACATAAACTATGTAAGGCATACGTCCATTATAAACACAGCTCACCGTTACGTACAAATTATGGTAATATTATGTTTACGTTTTATGGACATATTATGGTTACGTCCATTATGAATGAGATCTAACAGCGAATAAGTTCGTCAAAATACCAAAATGTTTACGTTTTATGGACATATTATGGTTACGTCCATTATGAATGAGATCTAACAGCGAATAAGTTCGTCAAAATACCAAAATCTCAATCGGCGGCAGAAACCTGCTTTTCTAAAAAAATTCTTATGTAACCCTCCACATGTAGCATATCAATGTACTCAGGACAACGATAGCTATCCAAAAATGCAACAAAAATAAACGGTTGTAATTTAAAAAAAACCTTACTTCGATTGGGGCACCGCCACGCGGCATATTTTGGAACAACTACATAGGCTAAAATATTGCTAGAAAAATAACAAAGTTCACGTGTTTCAGCGTTTTTTTTTTTAATTACTGCAGTTTTCAGAATATTCATATGTTCCGGGACGGGCACACTGTATATACAATTGACATTATTAAGAAAATATTGTATGAAATTATTATAATTATTTAAATTATTCCTGTCAAATCGCATAAAAACCTTGGGAAATTTTACTATGAGAAATAGTAAGGATGTGAATACATTTTTTTTCCTTAAAAATGTTTTTTAAATATTATACAGGTCTTTCATATTTCCTCGCTACCAGTGGCGTATTTCTAAATAGGCTAAATTAACAAAATAAAAATACGTACCAAAAAACACGTTGAAAAATATTGCTTTGTCTGAAATAAACTAAATATGTATTTTTTTCTTACACTGTGCAAAAATTTCTAGCAACACATGTTGCTAGATACATTGTTTTTCACGCGCCGCTAAAAACATGCAATTAGTCTTGGTTAGCATTTGTCAAGGTGTGTATCAAGTAAATAAACAACCTCATCAATTTAATCTTTGTATAAAATAAATTGTAAAAGTTACATAAACATAATTAAGTATGCCATAATCCAGTCTTTAAAAATGACGTTTTAATTAGTGTTTAAAAGTTATTTTAAAAAATAAAAATTTGAATACCATGTTACTTAAAAAAGAAAACCAACAAGGCATAAGATTTACTAATTTTCTCCGAAACTGTATTTTAAAAAGCAACCGCCCAATAATAAAAAGGATGTACCCAATAATTTTTAATTGTATTTTTAGAGTGTCTGTACATCCTAAGCAGATCATTTCCTCTTCTTATGATAGAAAATCAAAGTTGTATAGTTGAAATGATGGAATCTTTAAGCCAGATGCCTGGACCAGTTGCCAATCAACTATTAGATGCTATAACACCACTTACAAAAGTTTCACCAACTATTAGAGATCACTTAATTATTCTTTTAAGGAAATCCCTTTATTCTAGGTGAATAAAACCAATGAAAAAAATAATAATTTAACTAATGCTTTTTTCAGAATTTTAGGAACAAGGCAAATGGCAGTTTCAGGTTTTTTAAAGTTACTGTCAATCATGAAAATCTCCAGTTTGGCCATCCTAAGCCAATCGACGAGTTCAACAGGTAGTTTCACGTCCGGACATTCGTTGTTTACTCAACTGTCGTTGAATAGGAGCTCTCAAAGCACTTTGAGTAGTTTCAGTAATGAGGCCTTGTGTTTAGAGGTTTTGAGCATTTTGAAACGATGCTTTATGCAACAGGCTGAAGTTAAGGCTAAGCTTTATGAAGGTAAGATCTGTTCTAACCATTTTAAAGAAGTAGTAGGTTTAAATGATCCTTGTGGAGTTCATTTTTTTAGTTACTAAAATATAATCTCATGGAAGTGTTGATTTAAACTTATATTAATAATAATTTATAAGATATAGCTTTAACCCTAGAATTTATAAATTCAAGTTGCAACTATACTGCCCAACTATGGAGAAAGGCAGTAACTGCTAAACAAGAAATTTTTGGAAAATTAGCATAAACTAAATTTTTATAAAAAGCAGTAGGTATTTAATTGATTTATTTAACTTATGAGATAGTTTACTTTATTTCTTTGTTAAATTAAGATACCAACTGTCCATAGCTTTATCATAGCACAAGAAGATGTATTTAGAATTTTTTGTAGTTACTGCCTTTCTAGATAGTAGGGCATAGGGGTGTCAATCCCGGGATCCCGAAATCCCGGGGTCCCGGGATCCCGTAAAAAATCCGATCCCGAAAACCCGGGATTAAAAGTCCCAATCCCGGGATCTGAGTAATAACTTACAAAGAATAAAATATACTTTTTTTAAGCGTATGACATTTTTCATATTATAATACTCATAAGAATATATTTAAACACTTTATTTTTTTACTCAGTTCATGAAAATACATTGAAATTACATAGCAAGAGTGGTTCTATCTATAGCATAAACTCAGCAAAGAAAATGTAAAATTACAGGTCACTGTAGAATAAATTTATGTACATAACCTATTCATATAACACAATCTTGATAATTTCAATGTAAGTTACAGCCCCAATTGGAACTCGAGTGATCACCAAGGCCCGATTGGTAAAAGAAATGAAATTATTTGTTAATGGGGGTAAACGTGGGTACAATGTGCCTACAAATTCTTGAAAACCATTCTTCCGACTAGTGTGAATTCCGAAAGATATCGTTCGTTAGTTTGTTTGTTGATTTATTTTAAATTGGTTTTAAAATTAATGATATATATTTTTTCGGTATTGATCCCAGGATCCCGGGATTGGAAAATGGGCTCGGGATTGACACCCCTAGTAGGGCAGTATAGTTAAGAGTTTAATCTCAACTATAGTTGCTCATTTGACTTGTTTGTAAACATGTAATTATATATCCTGTTAATAATGGGGCATAAAAAAAATTCTAAAATAATGTATTTTATTAAATACACCGGCAAAGAAAACGGCCACCAGAAATTGGCAAGACATTATTTTCGCATGTACAGGTTGAAAAAGTAAGAAGTTTTTCCTGTAATTTGTGACACCCTGGGTGGTGCAGCAGCAAAAACAGCGGATGTTAATAAATATAATACTATAGTCCTGTCTTTTGTGAACATTTTGTTTTTATTAACGTTATTAACAAATATACACTGTTTTAAAGCTAACTCCTCGGTTTTCGTATGATTTTCTCGCGAATTTCTATCAAATTTTGATGATTTTTTAAACTATGGGATGACCTTAATTTACATTTTGTAAAAGATTTATTAGCCATAACAACGGATGTCAATTGGAATTTCACTATAGTCCTTCTCTGAACATTTTGTTTTTTATTCATGTTACTATCTCTATTATTAACAAAGATACCTACACTTTTTTAAGGCAAACGCAGCTGATAAAGTCTTCGAATGTAAAAACAAAGAAGTATAAAGTTAACGTACGCTGGAACGGATGTAATTTTAAAATATGACAATAAAAATTGTCAACGGTTGTCAAATAAAAATACCGATATCTGTGACGAATATTTCTCGTATTCAGGCCAATTCACTAACATAAGTTGTTAACGTTAGCCACTGGAATCAGTGGTTATCGTTATATTTAATCGGCCTGATTGGCCGGATTGCCCGATAACCACTGATCCTAGGGGTTAACGTTAACGACTCATGTTAGTGAATTGGCCTGATTGTGTCATTAATTGAAGATGGTCGAAGTCAACGTTATGTGTCTACGAAAACTTTATTTAAGGCTTTGGTTTAAAAAACTAAATGTTTAGAAAAGATAGTACCACAGTATGATTCCAATTAACATCCGCTGATATTGCTGTTGCACCCCACAGGAAGTCACAAATTTCTGAAAAAAAAAACGTCTTCTTAGTTTTGCAGGGTGCATATGCTCAGATTAAAATCAGCATATTTTTTTTACCATAGGGTCTTTCCATCTCATATTGACCAGGCAAGAAGGGGTGGGTCGTTATTTTTTAACAATTTTTTTTTACAGTTTTACCACCGAAATCGATGAGACCCGTATTTTTTCTTTTTGAAAAAATTTGTTTTGTTCACCCGTAGGAAACTTTTGAAAAATGGACAGTAACATCGATTTTTCCCTTTCTACGAGTGACATTTTTTCTTAAAAATGTGATAACTTAGCCAAAACTGTTTCGATCGTTACAATTTGTTTTTTAAATTGTAGGTAAATGTTTACTTCATACAAAAAAATATAAATTAAGTTAATTTACTCAATTTTTTTTAAATCGTTTTTTCTAAGAAAGCAAAAAAAAAATGAGGTCAAAATTTTGACCATTGCCAGATTTTTTTTTCACTTCATAGTTTTATTGTTTGAAGTTGATAATATAAACCTAGTAAATTCGTGGTTCATCCCAAAAATTTGGTATTTTAGGGTGACCTTTATTCGAAGTGGAAAATGGACAGAAACATCGATTTTTCCCTTTTTACGAGTAACATTTTTTCTTAAAAATGCGATACGTGACCCGTTTTTTACAAGTTTTACAAATTCATCGTTTCTAAATTATTTTGTTTTTATTGAAAATGCCAGTTTCTAGTAAATTCGGTAGGTACTTTATCTAGAGTCATGAAACTGGGGTGACCTTTATAAAGTGTAATTTGGAACTTTTTGACATATTTAACATATTTTTGTCATTTCTGGTTTCACCGGAAATTCTCTTAAGTAAGTAAATTAAATTATTAAATATTTTAGAATAAAATGTAAATTCTTAATATTTTTGCATGTTTTACTGTTAAAAGATATAAAAAGTATACGTAAGTTCATTTTGGTTAAAATAATAAAAAGTAAGTATTACATGCCTAAAAGTAATTAATCGAATTCACAAGAAACTTGTAAAAACGTTTAAAAAAAAGTTTTAGCGTTTTTCATAGTAAAATAAAATGTTGATATTCACTTACAAGCAAAACAAACTAATGAACTGTCAAATCTGATACTTCTTTTAAACACAAAGGTTTCAAAGTCTACTTAATTTATTTACTTCTGTACACACTTTAAAACCTAATACACATTCAAATTTATTTAAGAGTTTGAAAGTGATATTTGCATTAATATTTGGTATCAAATTTAAAAAAAGTGGATTTCTTTTATGACCAACGAACCACCCTCTTTAATTATACAAAAATAGTTTTGGCATAAAGTATGGTTTTTCAATTTTTTTAAGTTCCTAAAACCAGCATTGCAAAAAAGAATAAAATTGTATTTTTTCCAGACTACTTGGCCCAACATGAAACAGAAAAGTCAATTTAAGGCACTCTGGATATAGAAATAAAATTTATTCAAAAAATTATTTGACCTGTTGACAAATTGACAAATGAAATGTATGTATTCAGAATTTTATTTTGAATCGAAATAGGTATGTAAAAATGCATAGTGTTCCATAAAAAAATAAAAAGTTAAGACCATTTCCGGTGAAACCGGAACTAACAAAAATATGTTAAATATGTCCAAAAGTTCTAAATTACACTTTGTAAAGGTCACCCCAGTTTCATGACCCTAGATAAAGTACCAAATTTTTGCTATTAACCACAAAATTCCTAGAAAGTGGCATTTTCAATAAAAAAAAATATTTCGAAACGATGAATTTGTAAAATTTGTAAAAAACGGGTCACGTAGTATGGGTACTTTCCCTTATCGCATTTTTAAGAAAAAATTACACTCGTAAAAAGGGAAAAATCGACGTTTCTGTCCATTTTTCAAAAATTTTTTACGGGTGAACAAAACAAATTTAAGCAGTAAGAAAAAATACGGGTCTCATCGATATCGGTAGAGAAACTGTAAAAAAAAATTTGTTAAAAAATAACGACCTACCCCTTTTTGCCTGGTCGATTTGAGATGGAAAGGCCCCATAGCATTGTAACTGAAAAGTCGACTTTCAATTAATTTTTTTAATTAAAATCAGATAAGCTGTTCGCGAGGAAATCAACATTAAAATTGTGGCCAATTTCAGGTAGCCGGTTTTTTGCCGATTTTAAGGAAAAACATGTTGTGGTTGGGTTAAATCATCATATTTTAACTTCAGAAATCTAAAAACTTTTTAGCGTTTTAGTTTAACAAATTACCTATTTGTATTTATATTTTCAAGGTCTATATGATACAGTGTGCACCAATTTAGAATTGGGCTTACCCGTTTTGGACGTAATGTGCTTTCATTTACAAGAATTGTATGTAACAGATGAAGAACAGCTACCGCCCTTAAAATTTGATAATATCGTTGCTATCAGAGATGTTGAAGCTGTGTTGCAAGTAAGTTTTTTTTTTTGAAAATTTTTCTCTGAAAAGACTAAGAAAAATTCTCTTTTAAAAACTCAGGAGAAGACTTTATTAAGTCTTATGTTTCAAACAGCTTTACTTTAAAAATAAGTATTACAAATTAAATATTTTTGGCCCATTTATTCTTTATAATATGGCTAGTGTAGTTATACATCATACTAAGTTTTATTATTATTATTATTATTGAAGATAAAAGATTTTTTCCGTATTTTGACCGAGTAAATTACTTCGATGATCTGCGTAAATTGGTCCGGCACTAAACATTTGTTGTCTAGGAACGTTAAATGTTATGTGGGTAGGTATACAGTTTTAATTTCAATTTTAATCTGATTTTAAAACTTAAAATTACGAAAAAATTACAAAATTCATTAATATATTTTATTATTGCCAACGCTCGCTACCAAAAATTCGATAACTAATAACAGCTCTAAACTATCTAACCGCACTTTATACTCTTAATAATTGTTATTATAATTGTTAGTTTTATGTATCGTTTAACAAATAAAACTGTGGCTTGAAGATAAAATGTATGCCATTCAGATGAGACGTGTCTTCGCTCAATTGTAGCTATCACAAAAATACTCACTTCTCAGCCTTATGATAAATAATACTCAAGTATTATATATAATTATTTATTTTGGGATGACATAAGGATTACTCGTCAAATTTGCAGTCTTTTTAATAGAAAATAGGAAATAATAATTAAATCGGTGAGTTTAAGAACAGTACAAGTCCAAAATTTAAAATTTTTGCAAATTATTTTATAAAAATATCTTTATGGTTTAAAATGCATCTTTGTGAGAATGTTTCAACTATTGTGCAAAATATGGTTATTATATTTTATAAAATAGTTAAAATATTCTCAAAAAAATGCATTTTAAAGTAAAAAAATGATTTTATAAAATAACTTGTAAACAATTTAAATTTTGTACTGTTCTTGATCTCACCGATTCAATTATAAATCTTTATTTATTGACTTTTCAGAAAATCGGCGTTTAGTTTAGTTGGGAAAGTAAATAATGATGACTTAAAGAGAAATTTTAATCATTATTGTCATATTTGATGATTCTGTAAAATTTAAATTTTGTTAATTCCGACTAATAAATTTGCTTTTTGGAACGATTTCAGCGTCAATCAAATTAATAGTCAACAGAAAAACAGAAGTTACGATTTTTATTGGACGAATCCGTATGATAGAATATTCTTTGTCCCTGGCAAAGAATGCTCCATCTACGCCATTGATCTTCATACAAATTTATTCTATCGCGATTTTTTTATAAAAATCAATTTTTAAAAATGTCGATTTAATATCAATGCCCTGGGATTTTTATTTTAAAAAATTATGAAATCAATCTTACGTATTCCTTTACATTTTAGGATTTAAAAGTCGGCATTTTACTGAACATTCCATACCAGTACTTCTTAACCAATCAAAATGGGTTTTTTTGACAGGTCACACATGTATTTTTGTGGAATTTTTTTTCGCTTGGGCAACAGCAAATTAAATCGGATTTTTTTTGGACAATATTAGTTTTAAATTCTTTATTTAATTTTGATACATTTCAATTTCATAGTTAAGATGTCTTCTGTGTTCTTCTGCCACCTCCTTTCTTCTTAAAGGCGAAAAAGCGGGACTCATAATACATGTGTGATAAAATATAATATAATATAATATTTACCACCCTTTTATTTACAATTTTATTAAGTACCTACTTTTAATTTTGAGTAATTTTTATTATTTAAGTTAATGTAAAATTAAAGAATGTACTAGTGCTGAACATTAGATCCGGATCCTTTTTCAATCCGGATCAGATCGGGATTTTTCAACGTGCATAATCTGGTTCCGGATCTATCCGGATATAATACTCCGATTTTAGATTCAGAGCAAAGATCCGAAATATGGATCAAAGGTCCGAGATCCGAATACTGGATCTTTGTAGTGCTAAACATCAGATCCGGATCTTTTTCAATCCGGATCAGATCCGGAGCAAAGATCCGATATCCGAATACACAACTGCTTAAAAGAGTTTTTTCTCAACAATATGCTTATAATTAATAATAATATAATTTATAATATATATAATATCATTAATTAGTTAATTCCAAGTCTATTTTCTCCATACAAAAATATTTTCTTGCATTAATTTCCGGACACCCTGTACAACTGCTTAGTAAGAAATTAAATTTGTTTGTGCTACCAATTATACTATTTCTTTTGTATGCCCATAACTTATACATTATTATGATCCGGATATCGGATCCAGATCTGAGATCCGGATCTAAGATCCGGATCCAAGATCCGATATCCGGATCCGATATCCGGATCCAAGATCCGATATCCGGATCCGATATCCGGATCCAAGATCCGATATCCGGATCTCGGATCTTAGATCCGGATCTCAGATTTGGATCCGATATCCGGATATCGGATCCAGATCTGAGATCCGAATCCGGTTCCTATATTTAAATCCGGATACGGATACATCCTGATCCGGGTTTTTTTTTCAAGGAAAAAATCGGATCCGTGCACTACTAGAATGTACTGTGTTCAGTCTTTAAATGGTATTTCCGTGAAACTACAATAAGTAGAAATCATGGTGGTCTTGTCAAAGAAAAAAATAGGCATTGTTAAAAGTCAAAAAATGTAATTTTAAAATGATTTTATTCAAACACAATTTAGTGTGGAATTTTATTACCGAATAACGCGCGTAATTAAATTAAATCCTGAAATTTTTTCTTGCTCATGAATATTTTTAGAAAATTATTCCTTGTCTTCGACTCGGGATAATTTTCAATATATTCATGGGCTCGAAAAAATTTCCGGAAATAATTTAACCCCCTTGTGATATTATAAGTGAAAATCACCCTCCTATAATCGGAACCTACGCCATTTTAAAACTTAATAATTATTAAAAAAAATAAATGTCTTGCAAATTTTAGGAACCCCTTGGAAAATTAATTTATGCTTCCGGCCTAACTGTGTGCAAAATGGCTGAAACCGAAGCTGACAATCAAACAGTTATTAACTATCAAAAAATGTTGGACTCACTATGCAAAAGAATGATTCAGTGTGAACTGGTTCATTTTGATTTGGTGCGTTTTAAAATTACGTTTAAAACTTGTTAAACATATTAAACCCTTTTTAGGATGACGGCACAGATTTGTTGGACATTCTGCCTGAATGCCAGAAGAAAGGTTTGATTTTAAAGGAAGCATTAAACGTGTATGAAGCGTTAATTGGTTACAAAATTTTATCCTGGTGCAAGGATTCAGAGAATATCGGACAAGAAATTAACAATTTATTCCAGGGTTATTCAAGATTATATCAATTCTCCAAGGTACATTTTAACATTCCTATTAAGGACGTTTATTTTAAAATTGAATTTTAGAATTTATTAAAACCAAAAAAAGACGCAAGAAAAAAGAATCAAAACAACCGTGCCACGCAAAATAATACAGATATAAATACACAAAGAAAAGAGCAAAAGGTTAAAAACATTAAGATGCCAGACAGTTTATGGAGCAACAAAACGATTGTTAGAGCTTTAGAATTACTACATGAGTATAAAGCTTAAGTATACAACAATCCACAAACGTAAATTTTGTTATTCTAGAAATGACGTTGATTGGGTAGGCCCAGGAAAAGCCAACGTAATAAAAACCAAACGTGAATTTCATCAACATGTCATGCAAGCCACAATAAACATTGTGCAAAACATTAAACATTTGAAAAATATCGACTCCAACGTTGAACAAAAGCACTACGATACTTTAGTTGACATAAGCGTTATAATTTATAACAGAATTATAAAGCGATTTAACGAATTTATCGATTTTGATTGTACTACAGCAGTTCTAGCACTAGAGTGCTTCCAATATATTCTACATCGGATTACTACACAGTACAAAAGCAATTTTAGGTCCTTTATTAAAAAAATCTGTAAGTACAAGTCATTATTATTTTTTAAAATCTTGAAAGATTAAGTAACAGCTTGTATAAAACAGACTGTTACCTGTTTAAAACGTACTGTTACCTATTTAAAACAGACTGTTACTTGTTTATGGACCATGGCCAATAAATCGACAATTTTTGCCATTTTGAACCTTAGATTTTCCTATGGGATTTAACATGGTAAAACGATCGATTTTGGTCGGGAACACCCATACCATACTTACTATAAAGTTGCAAATTTAATTGTAAATTTAACTAAAATGTAAATAGGTACATGAAAAAATAGCTTGGTTTATATTGGATGATGACTATATTATTTCTGCATCATTTGAAAAAAAAACTGGATAAGTCAAATATAGAAACTTTTCAGGGCAGCCAGTGGCGGATTTATTGTTGACTACTCGTGCGCAGGCATTTGAACTTTTAAATACAAATTAAAGTACAAATATTATATGGATTAATAGGTGTTTGAAGTGCAAAAATAATATATTTTAATTTTTCATAAATACAGGCATATATGCCTACATTAAAATGTTATAATGTAACGAACCGTTAGGATATTCAGTAGTAACATATTTTTTATCATAGTTTTGAAAGTCCAATAAATTTTTATATCTGTGGACCCACTTAAACATTAAAAAAGACAGAAATATTCGACAAATGCTCCAAAAATCTTTAATACTGATTATTAATAATATATTATGTATCAAGTTTGATAAACGCCATTTTAGTCACGAATTTAATGTAGGCACGAGCGAGCTTGCGAGCGATTGCTTAATTAAATGAGTGCTTAGGAAAGTTTATAAACGAGTTGCATACTATATTTTTTCTACGACAAATAATATCTAAAAAATGATTTAAATTAACTATTTGTATAAAGCGACATCTAGGTATACGAAAATAAAGTAACTATCCCAATAAACATTATTGACGTAAATTTCACCATTAACAAAGCCCGTTATTATTTTAATGAAACCTAACAATTATAATTGATAATAATAATAATTATTAATAATAATAATTATAATAATTATTGATACTTTAAAATATTAAAATAACTAAAATATGATTATGTTAAGAAAATATTTAATCCTTTGATTTTTTATTACTATAATTGCAAAATATTATCACAAAGTATTAAAAATTCTTACATGGGAAATGTTAAAGGTAGGTTCTGTTAAAATTTCTAACCGGCGTTAAATTCTCAAATTTTCTGTGTAAATCAAAATTTACCCCTTGAAAATAGACTAACAATCAATAAGGAAGCAGTTTTTCACAGTAAAAGAGAAGAGAATGTTTTATGGGCACTGTACGCAATTTATTTAATGCTTTATCAGTTAAATCTAGTTAACTACGGCGAAATCAAAAGATTAGTAAAAACGTTTAAATAATCTTTTTAAATATTGGCGTGAAGAAACTATTTAATACTTTTGTATTAAGATAATAAAATAATTTTCACATTTAGTAATATTTTACAATAAAGACACTTTATTTTAACGATTGTATGACATTTGACACCTGTTAACTAACTCAAAACTAACTTCAGCCCTTGACTAAAAACCTGTTGCCAACTTCAGCCCGTGTCTATTGCACCATAAAGCCACAATGTGTATTTAAGAGGTCACTTAGTGTCATGGAAACTTGTACGATAATGGGCGTTTTAAAGGTGGGAGTAAAAAAAAACTTTTTTCCACTCCTATTGACATTGAAATAATTTAAGTTTTTCTGTATAAAATGGTAACTATTATAACCGCATAAATAACTACAATGGGAATAATGAACTTATTATTTCCGTTATGCATCTGATTGGCCGATTTAAATATTTTACTGTGATTTGGACCAATTGGGTATTGTCAAACTTGTTTATTTCAATCATTATCATTGTATACTTAATATTTTCTACTCCTATTTAGATACCTATGTAAACAAACGGTTTTTTTCAGATTTTTCGTTTTTTTCACTTTTTTAAACCGCTACAATTGGTTGACTCTTATTGGTTTAAAGTTTGATTTTGTATGAAATTAATGTTTTTTAGCTGTTAACTTGTAAACGGTTGAGTTTAGAGAAAAAGTAAATTAAAAATTAATATTTATTATTCATTTCAATATTTATTTAGTCATCAAAATTTAAAATTTAGGCAAAAATTATTTAGATTTAATCTTTAAATATTTTACAAATTTTGTTTGTTTTTGGCAACTAATAAAAAATGTGTGAAAAAGCATTATTAATATAAATATTATTTCATTATAAAATATTAACCTAAAATTTTAAATTTTGATTACTTTAATTTCACATTTCCCTTAAAATCTTAATTTTAAAGATTCGACTTATGACGTGTTTTGTGGAAAAGTAAATAGTTTACAAGTTTTTACTAACATTTTTAACTATATATTATACTCCTAAATTAAATTTGTTTTTTGCGAAAAAGGGGGGAAACTTTGCTTCATTGGATTAATAAAAGAAAAGGGTAAAATGTGATGAAAAGGGGTGAAAAAATCCTGAAAAAACAAAAAAAGAATGTTTTTTTCACGTTACAACTCCTATTAAATATGTTCCTTTAAAAGAAATAAAGAAAAAATAACTTACATTCTTTGATACGTTATTCAAAGAATTAATCTACGGGTGGCTTTTTAAAATATTTTTTAAAATAACAAAAATTCAAATTAACCTCTTCTCAGGAGTATCAGTGTTCAAATACTGTTACGGTTCTTTTGTCAGCTGGGTGCTTTGCGCAAGCTTATGTTCTGCGATCTGCGACAATTGTAGACCTGGCTTTAGATCAGTCACTGAGGGCAGTGTGTTAATTAGGTTTTTATAAAAAAAATTTTCAACAATTTGTGTAATCCTTAAGCTATTGACATTTCATTTAGACTTTACTACATGAAAAAAATTGAATTATCTAGAAATTCCCAAACAGTGCGAATTTAAAAATCATGATGTACAATTTCACAATAAATATTATGATCTACAATTTCACAATAAATTTGTAAATTTAGGCAAACAAGATGAACCTGGCGAAAATACCAACCATTTAAGGGAAATTGTGCACATTTATCAAAAATTATTCGAAATTGACGAGGATGAAGCTTCCGGTGATCCAGAAATTAAAAAATTATCAAACTTTGCCATCACTACTTTGGCTTTGTTGTCAAATCAGATAACATATAAAGACAATCATTTAATAATACAGGTAACCTATTATTAACAGTTTTAAAATAGAACCTTACAATTTTAATGTAATTAAGTGCTTTGCTTACTTTTGAACACTAAAAATTAAAGTCGTTGTTATACATTCAATTTTTTGAGTGAGTTAATATTTAATTAACTTAATTAAATCTGGAGATACTCGTAGTTAAACTTTCGATCTAAGCTTACCAAAAATACCAAAATATATAAACCACGTAATATTCATATATTTTTTTAGTTTTATGAATGGTTAAAAAATTTAGCTTATAATAACAACGTGTCACATAAAGTCTCAATCCCCTTTTCAAACTTGTTGTTTGAAGTTCATGTAAAAAGTCGAGCAAGTCTAACATTAATGTTTATTATATCAGTTTATTTGGGAGATGTAATTGGTGTTATTACTGAAGTAAGTTAATATTAATTTATACATTTTAGTATAAATACGTAATTGTTTTATTTTTATAGGAAGAACATGATTCTGAAAAATTGGAATTTATTAATGAGGGGACTGTTCACAATGTCTTCCTGAGCCTTTGTGCTTGCATAAAAGGCCAGCTTGAAGATATAGATTCAATAATAAATAGACTTAAATCTGAATTTTATATGATTACATATCCAGGACAAGAAAATATTGAAAGAAGTAAATTATAACATAAATTAAAACGTTTTACGTAATTACATTTTTTTATTATAGAGCGTGATTATTTGAAAAATAAAGAAACAGGAGTGTGCTGCCAATTATGTTTTATCGTTACAATTTTAACTAATTTGAGCAATATTTCTCTCCAACCTGGAAATATTACAGAAGCAATATTTAAAAATCTTACCGCGCTGTTTTGTACTCTTACATCCCTTACAAAATATTTTATGATGCGTTCCAGTAAAAGCAATGCTGCTTTTCGAGGAGCAAGGTAAGGCCTAGGAAATAATAGGTTTGTTCCTACTAAGCATTGTTTATTAAATGGACGCGATTTTAGTAATCCACATTTCCCTGATGTTCATTTGACATTCAAAATACTTGATAGGGACAAACCGTATATAACATCATTGTTTACTGCAAATGGTAATGAATAATGATAAAAGTAAAAAGTTTTAAATTAGTTTTTGCTCTGTAATTTGAATTTAGCAGGAAAAATACATTTACTGTATTTTCACGCTAAAAGTATCCGAACGCCTTAAAAGAGAAGGGATATTTTGCAGCGTCGTACAGACAGGTATTTTGAGTTCTAGGAAATTTGCTCAAAAGAAATCAGTTCAAAGGAAATTTGTTTGAAAGAAATTTATTGGAAAGAAATTTGTTCGAAAGAAAGTCAAATTATCGAGAGAAATATATATTTTATTAATCATTGTGTCAGTCCAAAATTGTACAACAGGAAGTTTTCACCACTGCTTGTCTGCTTGTATTCGTCTGGAATAGTTATTTGAATTACAAGTGTTGAAAAGCGACTTTTTCATGCGAGTTTTTAAGTTGCCCACGAGGCCGTTAGGCCGAGTGTGCATCAACACGAGCTTGAAGCAAGCTTTTCTCACAAGTATAATAATGTTTTTTCTGCGACCCTTTTATTTTTTATTATTTTTAAATACAAAACAAAATAACCTAAAAACTTTTTTGACAGCTGAATGTCAAACGATGCTTTCCGGTTCTTTTCACACAGACCTGTCACTTTTCACACAGAAATGTCACTTTACATTCGTGTTTTGCCTTGCCAATGAAAAGATTCATTTTCTAAGCAACGATGCCATCATGAAAAGTGACTTTTACATAGTGGTCGTAGAAAAAATTAATATCGTCCCGGTGTCTTGGAGTAAGAGGGCCAGCTTCTATCTTGTTCCTTACATTTCCTATCGTACTCTTCATTGTTTCAACACTAGGTAGTTGACTATCAGCGGTTAGACTCAATTGAGTATACTCAATTCTATAGAAATATTAGAAGTAATATAATCCGGAGGATCACGGCCGGTTTCTGCTTCTTGCTTCATGGATCCATATACAATTCTGGCCTCAATACCTGCTGCATCTCCTGATTGATTATGCAAGTTATTTTCTTTGATGACTGGTTCACCTGATGTAATTGCCCGTCCTTTACACGAATATTTTTTAAAATTTTTACACTTCCAATAAATACTGTCTTCACTAACTTAAATGAAACCTGAAAGACCAAAAATGTTTGCCTTTCGAACTTTTAATCAAATTTAGAGCCATGTTAAATCAAAGAAAGAGCAATATAAATTGAGGCTGTCAATTGTTGTAAGGGATTTAAACTGCTCGTCATAAAAAACGACGCACCTAGTTTTTTGGAAAATATTTGAAAGCTCGTTATTGGAAAATTACTGAATCGATTTTTAAAATCTTTAAAAATTCTGAATAGCTGATTCTTTGACTCTTAAGTCTAATTTTGGGAATACGATATTGTTTACATGACATTATACTACAGGGTGTTAAAAAAAGAGATGTTTTTTTCCAAAATTTCAAATACTCATTCACAAGGCAGTTGAGCTTGATAGTCGTAATACCCCTCCCTAATAACAGTTAGGTAATCCCTCGGGACGTTTTCGAGATTTTGTGGATATCTTGGCTAACTACGATTATATGGCAATTTTTCGAAAATTGTCGTTATTCTCCATTTAAGTCCAAAAAATGAGCAATAGTTGATTCTTTGACTCTTATGTCTAATTTTGGGAATACGATATTGTGCACTTAGCTACATACTACAGGGTGTTAAAAAAAGATATGTTTTTTTTTCCAAAAATCTAAATCCCCATTCACAGGGCAGTTGAGCTTGATAGTCGTAATACCCCTCCCTAATAACAGTTAGGTAATTCCTCGGGACGTTTTCGAGATTTTGTGGATATCTTGGCTAACTACGATTATATGTCAATTTTTTGAAAATTCACGTTATTCTCCATTTTAGTCCAAATAATGAGCAACAGTTGATTCTTTGACCCTTATGTCTAAGTTTGGGAATACAATATTTAGCACATAGCATGCTACTACAGGGTAGAGATGTTTTTTTTTTCCAAAATTTCAAATCCCCATTCACAGGGCAGTTAAGCTTGATAGTCCTAATACCCCTCCCTAATAACAGTTAGATAATCCCTCGGAACGTTTTTGAAATTTTGTGGATATCTTGGCTAACTACGATTATATGGCAATTTTTCGAAAATTCACGTTATTCTTCCAGTCCCAAAAATGAGCAAACTACGAAAGGTATCTATTAGTTATCAACACAGAGTTTTAAGGTAGGTAACGTGCTTTCAGTTTATGTACGTTGCGTGATTCATTAAATCTGAATTTTTTTACAGAAAAGCAATTTTTTTTGGTGCAATTCAAAATAAAAACGCAAACCAAACAGCATTATTCTCGTAAACTTATGCAGGCTATATTCATGCAATTTTCTACAAACGGTTGACCATGAAAGTTTAAAAAATATGGTGCATATCTGGTTTTGACTTCAATTATTGTTGTCGAATATGAAAATATTTTTCAAACAGCCAAACACATTAAAAAAATAAAATGACGGATTTAAGGTATGCAAAGTGAAATTAAACAGACGTTAGGAATACATTAAAACAAGATTTAAAGTTTTATAAAATTCTATTGCTCTTAATTTACAATAAACAAAATTAAAAAAACAAATAAAATAAATAAATCAACAAATGTTATAATCTTCATATAAATATTATTAAAATGTAGGAAAGATAGGTTTTAATTTCATGAACTAACGGCAATAAGTGCGTAAATAAAGAAAAACATTTATTTACGCGAATCCACATTTTTAATATTTTGTTGGCCCACCGCCGACACGTTTAACGTCCGCTACCCTACTTGGCATACTATTGACCAAGTCTGCAATAAATGCTTGGGGAATAGCCTCCCATTCAAATCTTACTGCATTTACCAAATCGTCCAAATTATTTAATACATACTCACCAGCATTCATCCTAAGTTTCATTTTACTCCATACATGCTCTATTACATTCATATCGGGAGATCTAGCAGGCCAATCCATTCGTTCGATGTTATTCTCCCTCAAAACTTTTTGAACAACTCTGGCCCTGTGCGGACGAGCATTATCATCTACCAGTATAAAGTCATTCCCGAAGTTTTGAGCGAAAGGAATAATAATTTCATTCACACACATATCTCTATTCCTATTCGCATTCATACTTTCTCCTAGCAAAACAACCAACTCAGTCTTACCATTCTGCATAACACCGCCCCATACAGTTATTCCACCACCTCTAAATGCTACCCTTGCTTCCATATTTTCCTCTACATACCTACTGTTCCTTTCTCTCCATACTAAAATTCGTCCATCACTAGCATACAAGTTAAATCTACATTCATCAGTAAACCTATTCCATTCTGCTATTCCCCAATTTGCATGTTCTTGTGCCCATCTTCTTCTAGCAGCTCGGTGAACAGGCAGCAAAAGCCATATTCGTGCAACCTTCTCAGAAGGTCCTTCTGCGAACAGTTGATGTCGAAATGTTGACACTTGTGGCTTCCCGAAGTGGCCGGTTAATCTGGGTCGCATTGAATGTAGGACGAAGGCGCACAGACATCCTTATATGGCGATTTTGACGTACAGTTGTTGCTCTGCCACGACCGCTGCGCCCTCTGTTGCGGTAAGCAGAGGTTCCGTGGGTCCTATATCGGTCAATTGCCCTGCGCATAGCTGATTCCGTACAGTTCAACATGTCAGCCATATTTCGGTAGGATATCCCGCGCTGACGCAGTCTACAATGTAATTTAAAAGATGATTTTTACATTATTTAAACATATGAGTTGCTGAAATACACTAACCTTATAATGTTTGTCAATTCGCGATCTCCAAAACGAGGCATTTTTAATAAAAATCTACTGTTGAAATATAAAATAACAACAATAATTGAAGCGATGAAAACCAGATATGCACCATATTTTTTAAACTTTCATGGTCAACCGTTTGTAGAAAATTGCATGAATATAGCCTGCATAAGTTTACGAGAATAATGCTCTTTGGTTTGCGTTTTTATTTTAAATTGCACCAAAAAAAATTGCTTTTCTGTAAAAAAATTTCAGATTTAATGAATCACGCAACGTACATAAACTGAAAGCACGTTACCTACCTTAAAACTCTGTGTTGATAACTAATAGATACCTTTCGTAGTTTGCTCATTTTTGGGATTTAAGAGGAGAATAACGTGAATTTTCGAAAAATTGCCATATAATCGTAGTTAGCCAAGATATCCACAAAATTTCGAAAACGTTCCGAGGGATTATCTAACTGTTATTAGGGAGGGGTATTACGACTATCAAGCTCAACTGCCCTGTGAATGGGGATTTGAATTTTTGGAAAAAAAACATATCTTTTTTTAACACCCTGTAGTATGTAGCTAAGTGCACAATATCATATTCCCAAAATTAGACATAAGAGTCAAACAATCAACTATTGCTCATTTTTTGGAGAATAACGACAATTTTCGAAAAATTGCCATATACTCGTAGTTAGCCAAGATATCCACAAAAACTCGAAAACGTCCTGAGGAATTACCTAACTGTTATTAGGGAGGGGTATTACGACTATGAAGCTCAACTGCCCTGTGAATGGGGATTTGGATTTTTGGAAAAAAAAAACATATCTTCTTTTAACACCCTGTAGTATGTAGCTAAGTGCACAATATCGTATTCCCAAAATTAGACATAAGAGTCAAAGAATCAACTATTGCTCATTTTTTGGACTAAAATGGAGAATAACGACAATTTTCTAAAAATTGCCATATAATCGTAGTTAGCCAAGATATCCACAAAATCTCGAAAAAGTCCTAAGGGATTACCTAACTGTTATTAGAGAGGGGTTTTACGACTATTAAGCTCAACTGCCCTGTGAATGGGTATTTGAAATTTTGGAAAAAAAGATCTCCTTTT